GGGGGGGTATGTGTTGCAAGAACCAAAATATCTATCAATAAAATGTGTTTTGTTTTAATTAAGAATAAATAAATAATGGTATAAAGGAGGTTTTTAATGAATGAAAACGAATAATAAATTTTCTTTTTAAAAGAGTAACAAATTCAGTTTTAAACCATTGAGTTTGTTTCAACACTGGTCTCTAGCTAGGGAGGGGTAGAAAATCTCCTTGGGGACACATTTAACACTATAAATACAAAGGGAATCCCCTTACATGTACAATGAATTAAGGCAAAATAAATGTTTTTCTACGGAAAGTCCAATGGATTTGCTTTCTAATACATACAATCAACAGAATATTTCTAATATAAATTTTCAAAAAGACACCAGAGAGAAAATTAAAAAAAAAATCAATCAGACGGTAATAGACACCGGCAAGCTTTGTCAATTTCACCAACAACTTGTTTATTTCAAACAGCGTTGCGCGCAAATGTTTGTGGGTAATATGAGGGTCCAACTTCCCCCGAGTCAAGGGGGGCAAATAGCCCCGGGTGCACATTATTTGTTTTAAAGGATGGTAGCCATTTATGGTGCTAGAATGAGCAACGATGATACGTCTCTGTGAAACTTGAAACAATGAGCTTCAGTTTGATGCCCTATACATATCTTATATTCGATCAAAAGCTTATGAAAATAGATTTTGAAATCTCTTAAACAAAATTACTTTTAGGTGCAAAAATCGTTTATTTCGACTCACCGCTTAAGTAAAACTTTTTAACGTCTGACACTTCCTTAGCATTGTAGGCTACGGTCACTTTGCAAGAGTATGTGGCCAATTTTTTTACCTCGTAGTTACTTTTTCATAAATTGACTGGGGGGCCAACTTACCCCGGGGTCCAACTAGCCCCGGTCTCCCCTACGTTGATTAGCCCTACCATGCAAGTTACTTCGCAAATTGTCACACGAATCTTGGACGAATAAAGTGAAAAACGAATACAAATCACAATCGATACGATTAAAACGGTACCGCTGTACTGTACAAAATGTGATTAAAAAGGCTGATACAATAATTACATCACCTTTTATCATATGAATTTAAATTTAATAAGAGTTTTGTCTTTTTTTTCCTTTTAATTAGTGAAATTCAAGGAATGCAAATAACTGTTCACTAGACTAAGTGTACAAAATGGGGAGTTTGTCTTCATACTTTTTAGTTAAAAACCCGATAGAGAGATGTTCTGTGGGATAACTATCAAAAATCATTGAAGCCACATAAGGAATTTTTCACATAAGAAAAATTATATCCCATATTTTTTAAGTGAACTGTTAATGTGCTTAAGTCAATTGTTTTAAAATAGGTCTAAGTAGAACTGCAGTATGATTTCGACATTCGACAGTTTTTCAAGATATTGATAAATATCAAATTGATGGATGACCAATAATTTAGTTGATTCACAATTCCCATAAGTAAAGGGAGCGATTTTTTCTCTAAAAAGTTTTTATTGATTACTATTATCCCTAATTTAAATTCAACAATAACCAATTAGAGGATAACTGTGAATTCTGTCCACCGAAACGAAGTAAAAAAAAGTGTCTGGTGACAGATTTAAAAAAAGGATGAATGAAATTGATATGAGGTAAATAACTGAATTAACGTGGTAATTAGCATTTTTTGTACCTTTACATTTTGAAGTTTCAATAAGTGTCTTACTATATGCAGTTTTTGAACTGTTTGAATAATGCATTTGCTCGTGTTAAATTGGAGGACTACTTTGTATCTAAGTCTGAATTCAGATCCACGTAGATCTGAGAAGGCGAGACTTTTCATCCATGTCAGGTTTCAGCTGTTTACCGACTGGATCTACGTCATCTAACATACATCGACCTATAGGTAGTGTGACCCAGCAGAGATACCACTCCCGGCACCTCAAGAATATGCTACAAGGTCAAACCTTCTTAAACGCTGCACCTTGCGTTACATCACAAATTCCGGTTTTACTAGAAGTAGAAGCGTCTCTGAATACAGCGTTCTCACAGACGTTTACGTTACAACTCTAGTATATTCAACGTTCTGGACGTCTGACAATGCCAGCAATCGAAGACGAGTCCGAGAAGCAACTGGCCGGTGTAAATACGCCAAAGGAAAGTTCGAACTCAATGCCGCAACCAAGACCTATCTCAGCGTACTTGATATTTCACACCATACTCATTGCGCTGGCTAGGTTAGGCATGGTGAGTACATGTTTTACTTACTCTTCACTCGATTTACTATGGAGTGAATAGAGTCTCATTAAAGCAAATCTTAACTTGCCGCTTTGTCAGTTTCAGAAACGTAGCGAACTTATCCTAATCTCCTACAGGGTGTACATAGTTAAACGGACATGTAAGGTCAACGTAATTAAGCGCAACTATATGTGGTTCTAAGAAACCCGGATAATTTATTGCAAGGATAAATATATATGTGTTCATTTCATATGATTTTTAGACTTAAATGCAAGATGTACATGTATCAATATCAAAGCGTAAGCTGTATTCTTATCTAATGTTTTCGTTGTTCGTGTTGCATTACATTGCCAGTTACATCCCTGAGCTCCTAAATTTATCAGTGTCAATTGCACTATCTCTTGTGCTCTGTGCTTACCTCGTAAGAAAGATAAAGGATCGCAATGTTTTGTTTGCTTGGATACTGTCATTTATTATTTTCGTTATCATTGACAGCGACGTGTTATTATTGACGGACGTGTGGCAGGTTACTGTTTGTTGCTATTCTAAGAAAATGTAATGTAAAAAATCCTCGTTTCACGGGTTTATGACTCGCTTTTCATAGCGCAACCCCAGCATCAGGCCTACCCAACTACCGGGATCATTCAGTGCCGATTCTGGTAGTTGGGTAGGCCTGCATGAGCATCTTTTTTTTTAATTAATCTTTAGTCTACCAGTTTTTACCAAAATTTCTCGATTATAACAGCATATTTCATTAAACTTTAAGATTTTCAGTTATAAGTTGTCAGCCAGCACTTTTTAGAATGGATTCTTATGATCAAATCAATCTTTAATTTAATCTTTAATTTAAATGTCACGTTCATAGAAAACATCATGGATATAGCAGAATTTTATATTCTAGGGAGCGTATCTAGAAATTGCAGGTCCTTCACTACCTGTTATGAGATCGCGGATTGGCACCAACTATGAAGGGATCTCCCAAGGGCTGATAGCTCGCAGTGTGGGGTACTTCATGGGCGCCATAGTTGGTGGGTTTATGAAGGATTACTTTTACCGAAGTAATGACCTGCTTCTAGGAGTCGCCCTGCTTGTAGCCGCCATTGCCACAATTGTGGCTCCATGGAGCCGGTGGATATGGCTGTTTGGGATTATGCTTCATCTGCAAGGATGGTCGGAGGGAATTCTGGATACAGGTATACTCTTTGCAAATGTATAGCATGAATGAAGTAACTGTAAAAGAAACCCCTTGCGATGATAAGGTCATGCGTACTGTATATTTTCCACCTTAAATGACGGATCCCATGAAGGCTTTTAAAACTCTGTCTCTATTCTCTTCCAGCCGGTGACGCTCTCGTATTAGCAATGTGGGGTGAAAAGGCGCCGGCACCAGTGCATTCTCTTCATTTGGCTTTTGGGATCGGAGCCTTGCTAGCTCCACAGATCGCCGCGCCGTTTCTTGGCCCTAACATTCCCAAGGACTCGGCAGGAAATGACAGCGGCAATGCAACCAGCTTACCAGCAATGCTAAATTCTACAACAAATGTGACTGTGGTCTATGATCCTTGGATTGATTCAACTATACAGTGGGCGTGGCTTATAATAGGCATCTTCGTTTTTATTGTGGGGGTGGTATTTGTGGCCCTCCATCTGATTGGACCACCAAAGGGATACCAGGTAAAGAAACCAGACCAAGTTATATGGAAAGTTGTTCATCCACGCGCGTGCACCAAAGGAAAAGCTACCTGGATTTTCTCCTCTGGCTTGCTCGTATTTTTATTCATGTTTTACATCATTATAGTAGGTGGAGAGAGGGTGTACAGTAAATATCTGTTCACCTTTGCCACGGAGGGCGTAGTTCCAAGTTTCTCAAATCAAGACGCGGCTTTTCTAGTCAGTGTGTTCTGGTTGTGTTTCACAGCTGGTCGTTTTACTGCTATGCTGACTGCCATAGTCTGCCCGCCATGGATCATGCTGTTAGTTGAGGCAGGGTTTAATATAGCAGTGGCAATCTTCCTCAATGTGTTTAGTCACACAGAACCACTGGCACTATGGGTGCTCTCAGGTGCGCTCGGATTCTTTTTATCGCCAGTGTTTCCAACGGGTGTGGCTTGGGCATCGAAGTACCTAATTCTTACTGGAATGGCCATGACAATGATGTACATAGGTGCAGCTACCGGTGGATTTATATTTCAGTACTTGACTGGAGCACTGTTCGATATCTATGGTCCAGGGTGCATGATGGGCATCATCCTTGCCTATGCCATATTGATTTCCAGTGTCATTGTCGCGATGCAGGTGTATTCGGCTTGTCTTGGCAAGGCTGCCACTGAATTCACCGGGGAACAGCCTGAAGAACATCCTCATTCACCTAGTGGAAATCATCCCTCGGTTAAATATGAAGTTCCACAGAATTTACAAGAAACACACTAGAATTGACATTTGATGAAACTACTTTGTATCGTGTGCCTCGTAGAAAACTGGCGGTCAACACTCTATTTAGATAGAATAGATTATGGTAGGGAAAAATACTAATTTTTATTCGGATCAGAACGGCTTTATTTTTGATATGAAAAAAAAAGAATACCCATTTTTGTATCTAATATCTATATCTAGTATTTCGAATCTTATCTATCAGGATAGGAAATAAAATTCTGAAATGATGAAAGCGCTCAAAAAGATGTAATAATATACAGGAACCTGGATTATACCGAATTGAATGTTTTATATTTATTGTATCTTTTATAGGTCGAATGAAATAAATGATAATGCTAATAATCAAAGCATTCAAGTATATTGAAACAATTCATTCATTGTATCAATGTGTAATTGTAAGTTAAATATTACACATTTTTAAATAAATATTATACATTTTAATTCATTTACAGTATTGTAATAAAAAATGTCATCTATTGTATATTTGCCTAACTAAGCTGTGATAAAAATGTATCCTTGTTCCCTCCTTGGCAAAATCCTGGACAGACAGTGGAGGGTCGAAAAAAGCATTGTCCAAGAAACTACAGAACACTGGTTCCTGTATTGCGTATTTATAATTATAATAATAAAAATAAATTTGTGACAATTGTCAGAGTGCAGTTAAAATATCTGTATTATTTTTAGCAAGAGTAAAAGCTTCGATCAAGTATGAAATCGATTTTTTCTTCAAACATAAACTGTCACCTTTGTGCCGATGAATTTTCCTGGTACACAGCATTTTCATCTACAAGTCGTAGTAATTAAATAATCACCAACATCTGGTAATGAAAATAAATGAACTTTCCAGACAGCTGTAGATGATATTACTACCCAACATGTAGGCTACATATGTAAATTAATCATACCAGAGATTCTTCAGAACTGAAAACAAGCTGTCGCCATACATAAAATACCTTGATCTACACAGCTTAACAGCAATTTCCAACTCCAGCTCTTGCAAAGACACGTCTCTCGTAAGCTTTAAGACATGTTTTGGATTTTATTCATCGCACACATTGGTTTTGTATTCTCTCAATGTGATCCGCGTTCCTGTACTCTACCTAGATGTCATTGCGCGGGGTACAACTCCCCGGAAGGTTTACAAACCCGTGATACGCCACAGATGGTGGTTCTTTCCTTTGATGATGCAGTGAACGATCACAATGTCGATTTTTACCGCCGCTTGTTCACGGCAAAACGACGGAACCCAAATGGCTGTCCAATCACTGGAACTTTCTATGTCTCTGACGAAGGCCGTACGGATTACAGTTATGTTCAAAGATTGTATCAGAAAGGGCATTCTATCGCTACTCACAGCGAAACCCATCGTTACCCGGCGAGCTGGTGGGAAAAGGCCTCCTTAAGGAAATTGGCAATAGAACTGGAAGGGCATAGAAGGAGTATGGCAAAACTTGCAAAGATACCTTACGAACATTTAATCGGAGCGAGAGTCCCGTTTCTTCAACAGTCGGGCGACAAACTTTACACCGTTTTAGAATATTACGATTTTACGTTCGATTCCTCATTCTTAACAGGACCAACCAACAGGGATGAATTCCTGCACTACCTTCCAGTGTGGCCTTTCACGTTAGACTACCCCCCAGATCCCAGCTTCCATCCTTTCCTGTGTGATCTCCCTCCATGTCCAACCAAAAGCTATCCAGGTTTGTGGGAGGTTCCGGTCATAAGGATGCTCGGACACACGGACATGTGCGCCATGGCGGACAGTTGTGAGATGAAGGATGAAATCGACACCGTGGAATACCTCAACATGAACTTCAAACGCCACTACGAAGGCAACCGCGCGCCCTTCATCCTTTCAATGCACGCAACATGGTTCACCAGATCTCCATTCACTTTTAACGCGGTTGAACGGTTTTTGGACAACCTCTTGGAACTCCCAGACGTCTGGGTAGTCAGCGTGGAGCAGGTGCTAGAGTGGATGCAGAGACCGACGCCTTTAAGTAAAATGAAAGACTTTGAGCCTTGGCTAGCCACACGTTGGTGTAAAAAGTAAAAATAGCTTTGATCTCAATGAGTACACAAAAAACCTTTGTATCAGATTGATTTTTGTTTTTTATTAGAGATCTTATATATATAACTCTATGATTATATGCGATGAAAATATTTCACAAAGTAAGTTGAGCTCTTTGTAATGGCCTCAATATTAATAATTTTTTGTTTTTACCCTGTATTACTTGACAGAAAATAGAATATATATATATATATATATATATATATATATATATATATATATATATATATATATGCCTATTATCTGTATTATTAAAACAAGTATCGTTTATTTTGTTAATAAATACCGAAAGATTAATGACCGTGTTTGTCATTCTAAGCATGAAATGTGAATGTCTAAAGGCGATAGTTATTTGTTTTAAGATATTTTCCCAGAGAAAGATTAAAAGATTGATCAACAAAACGCGTTATTGCATGTATATTCTTAAATTTGATTATATAGACGCCAAATATTATTTGAGGGAAAGTATCCAAAAATAGAACATATTCCGAGTGAAATGGCTATTTACAAAAAATATCTTTGCCATGGCATTTTTACTGTTGCGTTTTAAAAATTGATTAAACGTGCTCACCTTTGGAGTATACGATTCACTTGAATACATTTTCAAAAGTGTGCAAATGGTACAATCACTTATAACCATTTACAAGGTACATGTATCGTATGCATACATGCAATTCCATAAAAATTGATTTTATGGCAGTTCGCTGCCTTTTGCACTAAATAATATGGCAACATTGTATTGGTGACTATTGCGCGTACTTGAATCAAGTTTCGTCGTAAAGAAAATCTTTTACTGGAAAATTTTCAAAGAAGTATACTTTACAGCGAGTGATAAACTGTCGCTAGTCCCAATATGACAACAAGGTATTTAAGTATTTTTGTATTGTCATTTGGTCCAAATTTCGGAACACATTCAGTATTAGAATGGCAGATAATTTTATAACACTTACTTTTAAAAAGCTGCAACGTAAGCAGGTGTTGCGTGGGAGAAGGCCGCTACTACATTTTTATAAATTTGGGTGGGGTAGAAGCAAGAATATAAAGCTAATGGTAGGCGCGGCGGACTGGGTCATTCGTAAAAAATCCGAATTTCCCTTTATAAGTTTTGAAAAAAAAAAAGTAGAAGTCCATCTGTTGACTTCTGCATACTTGTTTGGTTACAACATAGGCTGCCATCTGTACTTGGGACCTTGGTAACGCCCTCAGGCTGGCAGACCGACAGTGCAGGCCATATGTTAAGTCATTATTTCCTACGCCAGGTGTTCATACCAAGGAAAATATTCAAGACACTGAATATATATAATCCACCTTATCTCAAGTCACATATTTTTTCGAACATTTGTTTGGCCCATTACAGATCATGTCTCTTTCAGAAGAGACTATATTTCGATTCTTACTGGTGACATCTATTCTGTCTGTTGGTGTTAGTTTCTACCACTGTAGTCCCGACAACTGTAAGCTCCCAGAGTGTCAATGTCTGAGTTGCGACCCTCCAAATGGACTAAATATTGCAGAGACTCCGCAGTTCGTTCTACTCAGCTTTGACGACGCAGTCACGCAGAACAATTTTAAGTTTTTCACAGAAATATTTTCCGATGGACTTAAAAATCCGAACGACTGTCTGATCAGCGCAACTTTTTATGTTTCGGATGAACTGAACACAAATTATAAACTTGTAGAAACACTCTTTCAAGACGGTAATACCATAAGCAGCCACAGTTCAACACATAGGTTCCCACAAAGTTGGTGGATCACAGCCTCGGAAACCCAACTGGCAGCAGAATTCGATGGCCAGAGAAGAGTGCTGGCGCTTCGAGGTCATATCCCTTACCAGAAGATTATGGGGATGAGGATCCCGTTCCTTCAGCAGGGCGGGAACACCCCATATCGAATGGCACAATCGTATCGATTTAAATATGACTCTTCATTTGTGACTGGACCTAATAATCACAGGGGATTTCTCAACTACAGGCCACCCTGGCCGTTCACACTCAATCACCAGCCGGGTCGGTCAGTGTTCCCATTCATATGTGACATAGGACCGTGCCCCACGGAGTCTTTTCCTGGGCTCTGGGAAATTCCCCTTGTTCGCATGCTGGGTCCTAACGGACAAACCTGCGCGATGGCAGATGGCTGTAAAACAACCAGTGCGACAGAAACTTACGACTTTTTAATGAACAATTTTCAAAGACATTACAATGGAAATCGCGCGCCGTTTGGTATAAATCTGCATGCGACATGGTTCGAACGCAACCCTCATGCCCTCCCAGCTTTAAGGCGGTTTCTACGTGAGATGTCCACTCACAAAGACGTGTGGGTTGTAGGAGCAGAGATGTTGATAGATTGGGCGAGAAATCCCATTCCAAACCGCGCCCTTTCGACTCACGTCCCATGGAAATACGCAAGAGGATGCCGTAGGGAATGTGACTGCAAATGAAAAAATTCCACGGCGACAAGTAATTTGGTTGTTCAAGACTTACTTTTCACGACTTGATGAAAATTTATCTCCTTTAAAACACTTGCAATATACGTTTCAAATATGTATCTATTCAATTGGAAAAGAAACATTTGCGCCTCTGCAGGATAGGGCGATTTCCTAGGAATATTAGTATCAATAAATTTATGACTTGCATTGTCACTATCGCAATTTATTAACTGAAAGTTTTTGGAACAATAACTCTATTGTGTGAGGATCGATTGGTAAATTCCAAATTCAAGAGTTTGGACTAAAAGTGGCATTCTACGCTTTTGTTATGCTGGGTTCGACAGTTTTAAGGCCAAGCTTTTACAGTAAGAACAACTCATCCAAATCGTATATATTGCACCTTGCCTTACATTACAATGATAACCATAAGCATTGCAGATCTGCATAATTTATTTTATTAAAAATAACATTTCATATAAAATTAGGGCGATCTTGCATGTTCATTACGTCTTCTATACTCGTGTACTAATATGTTAAATGAGCACATTGTAAAACGAATATTAAACATTTGTATATAATAGGTTTCTTGGATATGTTCAAAGATATAAAAATATCTTGAGTATCAAAATAAAAAACCTCCTCATCCAATAAAGGTTAATTACAGGAATTACAACACTAAATAACCATCATTGTTGATAAAAATATGGTATAGTAAATATGTGATCAAACTACCGTTTATAAACTTAGCATTATTCTGTAGATGGTGTGCAAAAAGCAGATTATATTCTTTAACCCTCCAGGTTTCTATATGGAATCTTTTATCTAAAACCTATATGTTATTAACATTATTTTGTGATAAAATATGACACAATGTAAAAATGCCTGGATCAAAACTATCCCTGAAATAACTAAAACAACAAAAAATTCAGGAAGCCTTATTCTGAACACAGTAAAAATGGACTAATAAGCATCCTCATGATGAAACAAAGTTACACCCTGAGTGGCAATTCAAATAATATACTTTTTCATGTATAGCACAGTTTTCTTCAGAGCAATCAATCATTTACATGTCTTTTGCTCACCCCTTTTGGCAAGTTGAAATATTTGGTACACTTTTTGCTGAAATTCTCATTTTTACATTTTACTTCTTTAATATCGCATTCACAAGTTGAGACATGGCTTTACAAATCCTGGAACTCAATATGGCGGACATACATGAAAGAAAAACTGCCTAATCTTTTGATAGTCTCTCCGCCTCTCACAAGCCTCCCCATGCGTCGTCCCTGCGGGGGGTACAGTCATTAAATCTCGGCTCAATTGGGATGACACATGGGGAGGCGTGTGAGAGGTGGAGAGACTATTAAAAGATTACGCAGTTTTTCTTTCATGTACGTCCACCATATTTAGTTCCAGGATTTGTAAAGCCATGGCTCAACTCGTTGTTAATGCGATCTAAGTAGAGTGCAAACGTTGGGTGAAATTCTTTTCTCATTGCCTGCGATTGGGCCTTTGATTCTTGGGTATGTTGCACTGTTTGAAATAATTGTCTCTAAAGTTTTGGTTTTCATTTTTAACATCTTCAATAGACTGGCGAGTTTCATAATCTGAAAAATGTTGAAAATTCCATTCTAATTGCTTAATGTGAGAAACTTGGCCTACAAAGTTCCAAGGCAATTGCGAGTTGTAATCTACATTTTTAGCAAAGTTCCAATTAACCCCTGATGTCTCATAATCAGTCTGCTGTGAAAACCCCCAATTTAATGTGGATAATGATGGCACCTGTGGCAAGAATCTCCAGTTAACTTGACTTTCCTGAGAGAGCTGATGGACAAAGTTCCAGTTCACATTCCCTCTGGGTGACGTCTGCTGAGTAAAGTTCCATCTAACATTTCCATCTTTTATTTGCTTCTGGAACCCCCAGTCAATGGAGGATTGTTGAGGTACTTGCTGAGAAAAGCACCAGTTAACACTTCCATTCTCAGGCACTTGTTTCTGAAACCCCCACCTTACAGTTGTTGTTTCTGGGGTCTGCTGGTTGAAATTCCAATTTATTTTTGTCTCGGAAAGTGGAAGTTGTTTTGGAAAACCACTGTGATATCGTCGAAGAAGTTTTAGTTGATTTCTGAAAGCCCAATTTACAGTGCTAGAATTAGGGCACAGTTCCAAAAAAGACCAGTTTAATGGAGGTAGAGGAAGCTGTTTGGAAAATCCCCAATTTACAGATCCAGTTTTTGATGTTTGTTGGGCGAAATTCCACCTCAGGGAACTTATATCTGGCAACCGTTGGTCAAAATTCCAGGGAACAGTACTGGCTTCATGGGATTGTTTGGTGAAATTCCAGGAAACGTCAGGCAGTTGACCTGTGGCCTATCAATATATAAAGATTTAGTTAGAAATTTTCATTCAATATTAAAAGATTTAGTTAGAAATTTTCATTCAATATTAAAAGATTTAGTAAGAAATTTTCATTCAATATTAAAATATAAAAGGAAATATAAACTTTACTCACTGTACTTATTAAGACAAAATAAAAAAGTAAATTAAAATATGATCCTAATTATAAGTTACATAGGTTCTATAGATTTGAAGTTCTTATGTCAGTATCTTGGGAGATAAACTAATACTTTACCAGCAAACATTTCACCGACTGTAGGAAGATGGAATATTAGCCAGTAGCGCATCAATTTAATTCCCAACATTCTGACAAAAAAACTTCCACAATTCTATTGCAATTCCATGCTTGATGGTTCAACAATATACAGAATATAGATTCTACACTGAAAATATGATTGGTGAGCTGTAAGAATTTAGACTAGATTGATTCATTCAATTCCTAGCTAAAATGAAATATAAAACTGAAAGTGATTCAACTGAAATGAAGACATTAAAGTATACACTTCATTTTGTTAATCTAGATCAAAATAAATGACAAAAAAAAAAGCTCACAACCAAAGCTTATTTACAACCTGTTCGAAATCCCAGCTGACAGGTGAAGACAACAATGTATCAATGGTAATGTCCTCTAGGTCTGCATGCCCTTCATGTAAGTCTGCCAGTGAATCAATTTCGTCATCATATGAGAATTCCTGTAGCTCTATTTGATGCATGTCTTTCATAAGGTGAGACCTCCCCAATCCAGGGTTATCTACAAACTGTACTTTTTAAACTTGGGTAAAGAACTGAAAAGGGAAAAATTGGAAATTTTTGAGCAATACAAACTTTTAGCTGTGCATGTTATTCCTATAATACCCCCATCCTTGGACAAATCATTTGTATTCTTTGGCCAAGCCCCATCTAATTGCAATTGATGCAATACTCTGTGCTACCATTTTATATCAGCATTTAAAATAAAATAGATAACAATGAAATAGGACACAGCCTATCAGCCAACACTTCAATAAAATAGTCTTTTAATTATTAAGTATATTATTGGATATTAATTAAAATCAATTATAGTTATAAGCTTCTTCCTCAGTAACTTACTTCAATTTTCTTTTAACATAATATTGTTCACTGTACAACTTCAAGCTTCTGGTTGCAATTTTACTAAATAAACTATTATTATTATTATTATTATTCTAAAAAAGTACAGGTACATACAGATGGAAGTTCTAAGCATATATTCAAATGCAAAGAAAGGAAACACACTGTATATTTACGAATATGAAATATCACAACAATCAAGGTTTAAATGTCTGTTGGTTTACATGTCACTAAATGTAGTGAACCATTAATAGTACTGATAGTCTAAAATTGCATACATGTGATTTACATTTTTGTTTAATTGTTAAATTTATTCAGATGCATATAAGCATGATAGGTTGCATGTAGTGAACTACTGAGTATTAATAGTATACCGATAGTTAGATTTGCATCTTTGTTTAATTCAAATGTATTGACAATCATGTTTTAATTTATTCAAATGTATAGAAGCATGGCATGTTGCATGTCAGTTATAGAAATTCATTTAAAATGTAAATTAAGTTTTTGTATAAAAGCTAGCCACAGAGAGGGGGAGGAGACACACAGAGAGATATATAGATAGAGACAGAATAAGATAGATATACATGTACATGTAGATAAAGAGAGATGGAGAGAGAGAGAGCAGAGACCTGAGTTTACAGTCAGCCAAATAAACCATGTAGCAGAATACTATACCTGCCTGTCTCACTTGTGTTATGGGTGAAAACCAAATCAAAGAACCTGAATATAACCACAGGCTGGTTATTACGGGGCCGTAGCGATAGTCCGAAGGTTCAATAGTCCGAAGGTTCATTGGTCCGAATGTTCACTATAGAACCTTCGGACCAATGAACCCTTGATTAAAAAATCGACGAAAATGTTACCACTTTTCGGACCAATGAACCTTCGGACCAATGAACCTTCAGACTATCGAGACGCCCCCGTTATTACATAAAGTTACGGTCGTTTGAATACCTTGCATCTTTATGTTTTACTTCTAGCTAAGGACAGGTAGCTGGGTTAATGCTATTGAAATGGTTAATGTTGAGTTGGGTTCCTATGGGCCAATATAAAATTTGACTTTGGGTAACTCAAAGCGCGGATAGCATATTATTTTTAAAAAGACATGAATACATCCTGCATACAGTACGAAAGATCGATACGAGCCCATATACACAAGACTACCTGGTATACTGCCACCGTACTGTAGCCTTATATTAATTTTTAAGTACTTACTGCAAAGCATGGAAGGGCAATAACTGAGGCAAATTGTATTTGTGACGTGCATTTTGCACACAGGTACTCGTACTGTACTAGTACAATGTACAACTACATGTACACTGTACATTGTACAAGTGTCGCCAAGTGCACAAATTACATAATGCCATAAACAATCTACCGCTGGTCAGACGAAGTTGCTAAGGCTTAACCGCGATCCCAGAGAGCTGACGAAGCATTCACTGATTTTGGCGACTCTTTACTCCTTTAGCTGTCATTTTAAAAACTGTCAAGGTCCCAATGTCACCTTCGCAATATCATACTCACGCAAGATGGTAGTGGATTGATTGCTAGCTCTACCCGGAAGTTTACGTCAGAAGAAATTGAGGTCAGCAAAACAAAAGCACCAGATGTACATGGCTCTCGCCAATCAGTCGTTTTCACACATTTTACATAAAATTACCCAGCCAAGCATAGAAAAAAAAATAACGTCTTTCATCACGGCAATTTATTCGACCTGCCAAAACATACTGTACGAGCACCTATTCAAACACATGAAATATATTTGAGTTCTTAATTTTGCGACCTTTATGCTTCCCAGTGCAGATAACGCTTCATGTTATAAGACTTCAGCATATTAACTATTTATAACTCATAACATGATAAATAACTTTGTCGATCAAAACGCGGACAAAGGATTAGGCCTACCGTGTATACACCCTGCATATCAGTAGGCCTACATGTATGTGGGTCCTGCTTTACCTAAAAACAATTTAAAAATCAAACAAAATTTTACCAATACGATTGTGTCTAATTGTTTAGCCTACGTTGAAAAGCCCATTCGACTGATTGTGACACCCACCAGTACTCGTAACTATATTTTAAAAAAAGACGGAAAGACAAACAGAGGTGAAAACAACCTCCTTGGCCTCGGCTTGGACATAATTCCTTTTTATGTCTAAGGCCTCGGTAACATTTTCCATTTGTTAGCTTATTTGAAAATGAAGCTAAAAACAAAATTTCATGAAAGACCGACGCAGAAACCCAGAAAAAAATAGTTTCAACTCTGACATGCACATTAACTAATAGCACATGTTAAAATGAAAAAAGTTTCTAGTTATAATAGCTAGATCGTCACGTGTAAGCTAGGTCACTTGGGCCAAAACTGTGTGGCTTATGCTCATTCATTCAGTAGTCGGGGAACATGAAAACATAAAAAATTGTTACTTTGTAACTTTAGAAACATGATAACATTTAGTGAATAAGCTGTCACTCTCTCGCAAGCAGACGTGTGCAGTGCGCGCGCCTTCTGAAATTTGCACGGCTTTGATAATCATGCCATGAGTGGAGGAGGAGCATTAGATCTACGTACATGTACGTTATATACTAGTACCTGTAGTTGTTTTTACGTTTACAGTTTACTAAAATAATTACGTTTTTTTCTTCAAATTACAAATGAATAAATTTATTACGAAATTATTTAAAAATTCTGTTGAAGAATCGGACTACACACTAAAATAGCTACATGTACAATATCGATGCTGAGAGAGAGAGAGAGAGAGAAAAGAGAGATGAACTAACGCATGCCGCATTATTTGAAATTTTTAATTTAAGTAACAAATACAACACTACCGGTATGTTTACAATGCTTCACAAAGACAGTGTAGGCCTACCGTACATAAAAATAATAGAATTTTTTTTTTTGAAAAAGCGCCCCAAAATCCTCCTCAAACTATAGGCCTAAATCCACCTACTTTCCATCGCCAATATCAATTTCAAAGCATCCTTAATAACAAGTAAAAAAAACAAAAAAAGAAGAAGAAAACGGTGTCTACTGATCTACGGTAGATATATGTGTGAGTCTGTATATGCAGGCGCAGATCGAGGATTATTTGAAGGGGGGTTCCGAGGTTCCCTAAATCCGCCACTGTGTAGGCCTACATGTACATGTATATGGCACATTCATAAATGACAGCCAGAGAATTTTTTAAAATCTCGTATAGAAGCCTCCATACGGTAAGCAAAACGGTCACTGTGTGAAAATACAATAATGTCTGTCAAAAACCCACAGGTGATTCATTTTGTGTGCTCTGTGGCTACTAGTCATTCTATTACTGTACACGTCTTCAAAAAAGTCAACGTCTCTTGGCCTCTGTTTGCATAAATTAATGCGCATGACGTGGTTTTATATCCTCAAATGCATTAAGAATGCTGCTAAGTAAATGTTGGTGATACCTCTTAAAAACTTACCCAAAAAACGTCAAAATTAAACCATATGAGCACATAATGCTACTTACCCAAACATGCTTTCACCAAAACTGCAAATGTGGGAAAGCCGACGAAAAATAGTTCCCGGAAGTTAGTGCCACCTCTACCTGCCATATTGAATCCAGGAAGGTCTTTTTTGAAGTGTACGAGTAAATCGATAAAGGAGAAAATGGCATCAAGGAGTGAAAGAGACAAGCAGAAAGCTCTCCAAGAGAGACATCAAGCGATTTTGTCTGGTCTGTTGAAAGATGATGACAACAAGTACTGTGTAGACTGTGATGCTAAAGGTGAGCCGGTAAAATTAGGGGGTGTTTTCAAGTGTTGTCTGTTGACAGATTAGTTTTATTACTCGGTTCAGTCAGTGCCAGTAATGTTGTGAATCTTATCTTGCCCTTTTTGTTAAATAAAATTTTATCGGAGAAAGGCATGTCACATAATCAAAGTACAACCAAAATATCACTGTTTTTATAAAGACCAAATTAAAAAAAAAAAAATTCCTCAGGCTCTGTGTGTTGCTTTATGTCCAGTCATCATGAGATTGAGCTTAGGGTGCCTTATTTATAAATAAGTATAAACTAATAATATATCTGCTTGAAAGACTGCCTATCTTCTTTCTAACTAGCCTGGTTAGTCTGCACATTTAGTTTACTTATTTTTATTCTTCATATTTCAGGACCACGATGGGCCTCTTGGAATATAGGTGTATTTCTCTGCATACGCTGTGCTGGAATCCATAGGAATTTAGGTGTTCACATTTCAAAAGTGAAATCAGTTAACTTAGACACATGGACACCAGAGCAAATTGCTGTGAGTATATTAAAGTAAAATACATGAAGATGTTTGAAGTTGTCTTTTGAGATAAAGAATTTATATATTTGATTATGTGTACAGTAAAATTAGGTTATACTTAACAGGTATTACAATTGTGTTAGTACTTAGCCATCTTTGTATTTTTAGTCAAATTAATTTTGATAATATATTTACCTCAGATGATGCAGGAGATGGGGAATAGCAGAGGACGAGCTGTCTATGAAGCATATCTGCCTGATAATTTCAGAAGACCACAGACTGACTCGTATCCTTGCCATGTGCTTATAAGAGTTTTGTAGTAAAATATATTTAAAATATGCAGTATACTATTCATAGCTGGTTGTAAGTTCATGTTTCATTATTCTAAATTATTTTGTAAATAGAAGCTTTTGTCTTATTTGAAAACTTTGTAGAAGCATTAGTGTATTTTTTCTGTTTACATTTTGATTTTGTACCACTGAACTTTGCTTTGAATTTTATTTACCTCAACTTTGAGACCACTGGAAATTCTGATAAGGCAAAAGTATGAACAGAAGAAATATATGGCTAAAGAATTTGTTCCCCCAGTTATTAAGATACCAGTAAGTTGTTGGGTGTATCATGCATGGGCTTTTGAAAAAATGTTTAATGTAAATGTTGTTTATATGCAAACGCATATATTTGCTGCATGATGTTTGTGAATTATACATCATACTATGAGTTGGAATGCTGTATATTATGTTGTATACTAGAAATGCTTTTTGTGAAGTACTATCCCACTGGCACATTTTTTGTGTGTTATATATGTGTTTATTGTTCCCTAACTCACTTTTACACAGTCCTTTAGAACATTTTATACGAGATAAGTATGAGAGGAAAAAATACATGGCCAAAGAATGGGTGCCCCCTCGGCCTGCATTAGCAGTTTCGGTAAGTGGTTTCTTTGAAAAATCATATCTTTAAAACTAAGACTTCTTTAAAAAGGGCAGTGTGTTGTTTAAAAAAATCACCATTTTTTCAGGTGCATGTGCATTTTTTTTGTTTTTGATTTTATTTTGATTTTTTGCAGTGCTTTGTGTTTTCTTTTTTTTTTTATTATTTGTTTCGAGTATTGCTTTTCAGTAGCTACCTGTTGTCCACTGTTCAATGGATTTTTCTGTATTGATTGTTTTCTCTTTTTGTGGTTTAACATGTATATTAAATTTTTATTCAAGATTTCTTGGAAACTTTTTTTACTATCCAATGTCTAAAACATTTTGGATTCAGACTTTTGATACAATGTCAAACAAATTATCAAAAATATTTCCAATTTTTTTGTGTTATTTTTTGATAAAGCTTCACAAGAAGAATCACAATTCAATATTGATTTTCATTTCTAGGATGTTTCAGGATTTTTATTAAGAGTATAATTAAGGTTTAAAAGCTATCATTTTGGGAAGTTTTCACAATTGTATTTTAAGTCAGTTTAGTGATTAATTCTAATTGTTTTCAGGCTGTTGAAGATGAGAACAAGAAGAAGAAAGAAAGGCCTAAACCTAAAGCAAATCCAGTGCAGTTAAATGCTGTAAGTATAAGTGCATGCAAAATGTTTGTAATCTTTGTGGAATGATCATCTATTCATACTCTTAGAGTCAGAGGTAAACTTTGTTGTTTTGCCCAAGAATATTTCATCACGTTGAAATAAGCACTTTTTTATAGTTTCTCAAATATGTATTTCTCCATCTAAGAAGATATTGAGGTAAAATTAAGATGATCCCATGATACAGAATACTTTCCATTTATTTTTACTCTATCAAGTCGATTTTTATTTCAGACCGCAAGGCCAAATAGTAGTGCCAAACCTGCAGGTGCAGTGATGACAAATGGAGAGGTTTCTGCTGCCAAGCAAGAACCACCAAAGGCAAAGCAAGCCTCTAATACTGATGACTTATTAGGTTTAGGTAGGGCATCTTCATCTAATGTAACTCATAGTTTACTTTATTGAAGTCTTTTTGCTTCGAAATTTTTCTTGGCATGATGTTAAAAAAGAAGAGATGATGCACATTTGAATTATTTGTGTGACCCTTTTTTTCCCCAGATACACCTTCAGCTCCAGCATCATCCTCGAGTTCTGATCTCTTTGGTGATTTCTTGGGCGGTCCTCCATCACAGTCCCAGCCAACACAGCAACAGCAGCCACAGACAGAAGCACAACAGAATAATGATTTATTTGGAGACAGTTTATTGAAAGACAATACAAATAATGTGGAAGAAAAATCCAAATCAACGAAAGAATCCATTTTAGCTTTGTATGGATCAGGTGCTCCACCCCCACAACAGCAGATGTTTGGGGTGCCAGGTCAGAGTTGATTCTTCTTGTTAAATGAAAAAAATTATTTTAGTTTATCAGCTGTAGGAATCTGCATCCTGGAGGAACATTCTTTGTGCAGTTTTGTATTTTTTTTNCTCTCTGATCCTCTAGTTTACAGTGGATGCCCTCCTTGTTGAATTTTAACCCAGGAAAAAATTTGTTAGCCAACTTTGTGAAATACTACAATAAAATATACTACAATAAAAGCACAAGTTTTTCATTGCCTCTGTCTAGCAGGTTCCTCAGTGGTTTCATATGTAAATTACCCACTGTAAAATAGGTGCCAGAACTTAATAAGTAAACCAAAGTTAATACATTTCACATTTGTTATTGTAGCAGTCTATGATGATGGGAGGCATGCAGGGTGGGATGCAAGGTGGAATGCAGCCCAACATGATGGCAGGTGGGAATATGATGATGGGACAAGGGCAAATGGGAGGTTACAATCCACAACAACAGCAGTATCATTTACAGCAGGTAGGCAGATTCAACACAGTAGTAAATGTGTATTGTCAATAATATTAGGATTTTACATACTACATGACTGATCTTAATTGGTAGAATATTAAGTAAATGCTAATGCCAATTTGCTTTGACTAAGCAAGTTAGAACATGGCTAAATTGTACCATGTTTGATGGTTCAGAAGTGAAAATCGGCATTTTTTACTCTTTAAATTGCCAGGGATGCCCCAGTTTGTACACCTTTACAAACAATTGACCCGTCTTTTAACATTCTAGTTTGATTTGATTGTTTAGTAAATATAGTCTACAATGTTTGGTCTTACTTTGAAGGTTCAGCAGCAACTAGCAAATATGAACATGGGTCAGCCAGTAGCAGGAGCAGGCTTTCCACAACAGGGCCAGGTCATGGCTGGAGGGGGTGGCTGGGGAAACCCGGGCTCAGGGACAACTTTGGCAAATAATCTTTGGCAATGATAAGTGATGGTTTTAGGTTTTGCATATTATCATTAAGTTATATAAATTAATACAGGACCGGGGAAATAATTGAATTGGCTGGGAATGTTCAGATGGACCACATTAGGATGTAAATGAAAGGACTACATCAGTGCTCAAATGTGTTGCAAATACACCACCCATGGTAGAAATCATATCACTGATTCTAGAAATCTTCTGAAGTGTGTTCTCTTGGGATTAACATAAATTAATCCTCAGACATAGAATTTTAAATGCCCATGCTATTGTCTTTGTACAGTTTTTAAGTATCAGTAAGATCTTGACTAATAAATTGTGAACTTCCCCTTTTTTATTGCAACTGTAGAAATTCTTGTACCAAATGGACAAGACACCATTGATGTTGGTCAGGTTAAGTACATTATAGTTTTGCATTGTAATACATTGATAGCATTTAATGGTCATTGTCTCGGTGTGAGCAGTATTATGTTTTTATTTCTCATTGTGGTGACTTATTAGAAGTGCATAAAGTGCATCGATTTTGCCAAGTAATTTGTTATTATAGATAAAAGATCAAGTTTCTGCCACCTCCAATTCTTTAACTCTCCTGTGATGTCAAATGGGTGAATTTGGGGTACATAATTTGGCATAAGATGCCTGAGTGATTAGCATTAGTTGACATTTGCTGAACTAGGGTGTTATCCTGTTTCCAAAACTTATTTCCGTAGCTGGGCTTCGGGCTAACTAGGTAGTGCAACATAATGATACAAATGTAACACATCTTAATTATTTGTGGGAACTTGAAGAAGTGGTTTTCATTCACACATCTAATTTTTTTATCAGAACGGAAAGAACTTCATTCTTGGAAATGCTTTATAATTTGAGGTTTAGCAAGCGATAACTATACTTTGTCCGTGTTGCATTCCATCAGTTTTAAACATGAAATAAGTCAAAGAATTATCATGTATATAATGAATAGCAGAAAAACTGAAATGTCCATTTCTTTATTCTGTAACAGTAGTTTGTTGTAAAATGAATTTTATTAATAGCGATTTGTATATCATAGGTACTGTACATTGTTATATGTAAAATAAAATCCTTCCAATACTAGTTTTGGTTATCTTGGACTAATAAAAGTCAGATCCCACCTTCATAATTTTATTTTATAGATAAAATACTATCATCCAAAAAATATAAATAAATAAATAAATAATAATAATAAAAATAAAATAAAAGCACTTTGCAGCAAAATTTTAAAGTGAAAAATACAGGTCCAAGTTAAAAATTAAGAATATATCCAAGTAATATCTTGGAAAAGTAAATTTGATATTTCAATTTTTTTTATAATTAAGTTACTGCTGATAACCAAAGGAAAAAGACATCTGAATCCCATTAAAGCAACACCACGTCTTGATATTATCGACATGATTTCATTCTCCTAACAAATGATTTCATATTTTAATAACTTTTTAAAAAAAGTATTTCAGATAATATATGCTTTTTGAAAAATTTGCAGCGTTTGACAAAAATATCAAAGGCCTTCAAAGTTTGTGTCTTTTGATAGAAAAACAGGCCCCATCTCTCCCTTGTCTTATTAGAGTTCCAAAAAGTGTACATTATAAAGCACCAGTTTGATGTTTTTTGACATGATATGAGGTGTGCAAGTTGTGTGATACATGTTTTTGAAAGTAAGGCCTTCAACTTCTGGAGCCATGCACTGGTTATACAATTTTTACCCCTTGTAGGTTGTTTTGTAAATTGATTAATTCTTTTTCTTGTCTAATCTGCTCAGCCTTGAATGCTACCTTGTTGGCCTTCTTTTCTGCCCTTCTTTCCTACAAAAGAAAAAAGGATTCTGTTTTAAGCAGCATTTGACATTACTATTAACAACAGACAAAAACAGCAGTTAGACTTATACTCCTGTATCATACAGGCGGCTGTTTCAACAACTCAACATGCACAGATGGTAGTGGACCTTTTAAAAAATCTAGAAAATGCCAAGTGCCAAGGGCATGCAGATCTATATAGGAGGTTGGAGGCAGATATTCGATATGGGGGGAAGGGCAAAAAGGATAATTTTTAAAAAAATTAAAGCTTCTGAAATGCTGTTCATTAGGTTTCAGTGCCTCNGGGCACTTAATTATATGTTCATTTTAGGGCCTGCATAGAATGTGGAAAAAAGTATGCACCATGGTGAATGTTTTGGGTTTAATTTACAGTGCAAGCCCTCCTTGTTGAATTTTAACCTGGGAAAAAATTTGTTAGCCAGTTTTGTGAAATACTACAATAAAATATACTACAATAAAAACACAGGTTTTTCATTGCCTCTGTCTAGCAGGTTCCTCAGTGGATTCATATGTAAATTACCCACTGTAAAATAGGTGCCAGGACTTAATAATAAAACCAAAGTTCCTACATTTAATATTTGTTATTGTAGCAGTCAATGATGATGGGAGGCATGCAGGGTGGGATGCAAGGTGGAATGCAGCCCAATATGATGGCAGGTGGGAATATGATGATGGGACAAGGGCAAATGGGAGGTTACAATCCACAACAACAGCAGTATCATTTACAGCAGGTAGGCAGATTTAACACAGTAGTAAATGTGTATTGTCAATAATATTAGGATTGTACATATAACATGACTGATCTTAATTGGTAGAACATTAAGTAAATGCTAATGCCAATTTGCTTTGACTAAGCAAGTTGGAACATGGGTAAATTGTACCATGTTTGATGAAGTGAAAATCGGCATTTTGTACTCTTTAAATTGCCAGGGATGCCCCAGTGTGTACACCTTTACAAACAATTGACCCGTCTTTTAACATTCTAGTTTGGTTTGATTGTTTAGTAAATATAGTCTACAATGTTTGGTCTTACTTTGAAGGTTCAGCAGCAACTAGCAAATATGAACATGGGTCAGCCAGTAGCAGGAGCAGGCTTTCCACAACAGGGCCAGGTCATGGCTGGAGGGGGTGGCTGGGGAAACCCGGGCTCAGGGACAACTTTGGCAAATAATCTTTGGCAATGATAAGGGATGGTTTTAGGTTTTGCATATTATCATTAAGTTATATAAATTAATACAGGACCGGGGAAATAATTGAATTGGCTGGAAATGTTCAGATGGACCACATTAGGATGTAAATGAAAGGACTACGTCAGTGCTCAAATGTGTTGCAAATACACCACCCATGGTAGAAATCATATCACTGATTCTAGAAATCTTCTGAAGTGTGTTCTCTTGGGATAAACATAAATTAATCCTCAGACATAGAATTTTAAATGCCCATGCTATTGTCTTTGTACAGTTTTTAAGTATCAGTAAGATCTTGACTAATAAATTGTGAACTTCCCCTTTTTTATTGCAACTGTAGAAATTCTTGTACCAAATGGACAAGACACCATTGATGTTGGTCAGGTTAAGTACATTATTGTTTTGCATTGTAATACATTGATAGCATTTAATGGTCATTGTCTCGTTGTGAGCAGTATTATGTTTTTATTTCTCATTGTGGTGACTTATTAGAAGTGCATAAAGTGCATCGATTTTGCCAAGTAATTTGTTATTATAGATAAAAGATCAAGTTTCTGCCACCTCCAATTCTTTAACCCTCCTGTGATGTCAAATGGGTGAATTTGGGGTACATAATTTGGCACAAGATGCCCGAGCGATTAGCATTAGTTGACATTTGCTGAACTAGGGTGTTCATCCCGTTTCCAAAACTTATTTCCGTAGCTGGGCTTCGGGCTAACTAGGAAGTGCAACATTATGACACAAATGTAACACATCTTAATTATTTGTGGGAACTTGAAGATGTGGTTTTCATTCACACATCTGATTATTTTATCAGAAGGGAAAGAACTTCATTCTTAGAAATGATTTATAATTTATGAGGTTTAGCAAGTGATAACTATACTTTGTCTGTGTTGCATTCCATCAGTTTTAAATATGAAATAAGTCAAACAATTATCATGTATATACTGAATAGCAGAAAAACTGAAATGTCCATGTCTTTATTCTGTAACAGTAGTTTGCTGTAAAATGAATTTTATTAATAGTGATTTGTATATCATAGGTACTGTACATTGTTATATGTAAAATAAAATCCTTCCAATACTAGTTTTGGTTGTCTTGAACTAATAAAGGTCAGATCCCACCTTCATAATTTTATTTTATAGATAAAATACTATCATCCACAAAATAAAAATAAATAAATAAATAATAATAATAAAAATAAATAAATAAATAAAATAAAAGCACTTTGAAGCAAAATTTTAAAGTGAAAAATACAGGTCCAAGTTAAAAATTTAGAGTATTTCCAAGTAATATCTTGGAAAAGTAAATTTGATATTTCAAATTTTTTTATAATTTAGTTACTGCTGATAACCAAAGGAAAAAGACATCTGAATCCCATTAAAGCAACACCACGTCTTGATATTATTGGCATGATTTCATTCTCCTAACAAATGATTTCATATTTTAATAACTTTAAAAAAAAAGTATTTCAGATAATATATGCTTTTTGAAAAATTTGCAGTGTTTGACAAAAATATCAAAGGCCTTCAAAGTTGGTGTCTTTTGATAGAGAAACGGGCCATCTCTCTCCCTTGTCTTATTAGAGCTACAAAAAGTGGTCATCAATAAGCACCAGTTTGATGTTTTTTGACATGATCTGAGGTGTGAAAGTTGTATGATACGTTTTTGAAAGTAAGGCCTTCAACTTCTGGAGCCATGCACTGGTTATACAATTTTTACCCCTTGTAGGTTGTTTTGTAAATTGATTAGTTCTTTTTCTTGTCTAATCTGTTCAGCTTTGAATGCTACCTTGTTGGCCTTCTTTTCTGCCCTTCTTTCCTACAAAAGAAAAAAAGGATTCCATTTAAAGCAGTATTGGACATTACTATTAACAACAGACAAAAACAGCATTTAGACTTATACTCCTGTATCATACAGGACAGCTGTTTCGACAACTCAACGTGCACAGATGGTAGTGGACCTTTTAAAAAATCTAGAAAATGCCAAGTGCCAAGGGCATGCAGATCTATATAGGAGGTTGGAGGCAGATATTCGATATCGGGGGAAGGGCAAAAAGGATAATTTAAAAAAAATTAAAGCTTATGAAATGCTGTTCATTGGGTGAAATAGTGGGCACTCTGGTTCTTCCTGTGACACGTATGGATTACAAGCTCTCATGTATAAATAATTTTCCATCAAATGATTTGCCACTATGGCTTCATCTTACTTTTCTTTGCTCTTTGACTGCCTTCTTCCTGGCTCTCTTTTCATCTGTGCTTTCATCTTTAGGCCTGTATGTACATGCGACATCTCCTTTATTTGCATGATCCATCTCTTTTTCTAATTGTTTTTTAGTCAAACCTTTTTGAGGTAAGATGCCTAGAGGAATACCAGTCTTCTTTGAAAATTTAATGTCTTTTTCCTAGAAAACAAAATAAAAGGATTTTGTAAAAAAGAAAATTCCAGCATTGTTTAATGGGTTGCTTAATTATTGATTTCACACTAGTAATAAAACTTCTCCAGATAAAAAAATCAATATAACCGATTGTAAAATGACAACACTTACCTTTTTTGTAGGTTCTTCTATGGTTTTTGGATGGTTGTATAATGTAGAATATGTGGCTATAAAAGAAATAAAAATCCAATTACTAAAGAAATAACTGTTAAACCTTCTTTACTCTTCTTTTTCTCTTGACAAATGCTTGAAATAAGAAATTGGGAATTCTCAAATACTTTTATATTGCAAGGGTGAAAGTTGTGAAAATTGAAAATCCATTTAGACCACATGAAAAAACCAATCAAAATGAAGACTGCAAATCCTGTAATTGGGCATAATCCTGAAAACTTTCAACCATGACATTGCCAACCTGACCCGTGGACCAATGACTCAAGCACACTAAATAAGCCATTACTTGCATATATACCACAAGGCAAAATATAACTGTGTTCTTACATAAAATTGTCTCACAGTCCCATTTTTCATCTGGCTTCTCCATAACCATTTTAACTAAATCATCATCACCATCATCTTCTTCTGAGTCTGTTTCAATCTCAACATTATCCTTCCCCTTTTCGATAACATCTTTTAATTTTCTAGAAAGAAAGTTATTCAGAAAAAAAGGTTAACTTTACATACAGATGTCCTAAACATTTTTTTAATTGTCTTACCCAGAAACATGCGTATTCAAAATACTGAAATAAACAACGAATAAAAATAAGATTAACATGCAATAATCAAATCAATAACACTCATACTGGGTGCATCACTCACACTTGTGCCTGTTGCTTTTCAAATTCGTCCAATATATCATTCAGGACTTCACTTCCCTGTTGCAACCTGCCCTCAATATCTTCATTGTCCAATGCCCCTATTTCATCATCACCATATGCTGTGTACAACTGAAACAAAGAAAAAATGCATATTAACAGGTGATACACATTCAACCCACTGACAGACTACTGCTTAAAAAATTGGTATAAAAAGCAATAATTTAGGTGAAGAATCAAAGTTATCTTTATTGGTAAAAGATCAACAACACATCCTAGCTCTTCACACATCTTGAGTCTCAAGTAGCCAATTTCAGATGAAACAAAAGTCAAATTGTGTGTGCCATCAGAAACAAGCAGCTTTCAAATTTATGATTATTTTTCTGCCTTGTCAGTTCTCATACTCATATTCAAACACTCTGTGACAGGTGTTCAGTGACAAACTAGTCACACTGCCTGCCCAGAGCCAAATATTCTATAAATCAGCCAAAATCCCAGAACTGTTTTGATTTGATATAGGATAAAAACTAAGTAATTTGGCCATCTATTTTGCACCTGATTGGTAAGTCAACACTGACTGTAATCACCTTGCACACTGGTTGATAATGCTACTAATTGGTCCCTTGTGACAAAAAGCTTGCCTACACATATACCTTAAGACTGCTCTAAGAGTCATATGCTAAAATAATAAACTTGTGGGTAAAGAAACCCAAATAATCTGCACTTCTAATGAAACAGGACAATATCTTTAATACCTGCTCAAATCTATCATCCAGCAAAGTCAGTCCTTCATTCCTCCTTATAACTGATGATGTCATAGAGTAATTTGTGAAATGAGATTTGGTTTCAAAATTTTCCAAACTTCCAACATCTGACAACTGCTCATCTGAGCCTATGTCACTACCAGAATATTCTTCTTCATCATCATCACCTTTCCAATATCTGGAACGAAGTGAAATGTGAATAGCTTTATCTTTTGTCTTTCATGCTTCAATCAGTATATAACATATCAACAGCTGAAAAATAAGGAAAGAGTAAAAACTCGACAGATCTTTAAATTTGTATTGGTTATTTTCAAAATCAATTAGAAAGCACTTTCTTTCTTAAGCCTAAAAGAATGTTTGACATTAATTGGAAATTAAGACTGTGCAGTAAAATTTACCATTACTTTCACTTCTTTGGTCTAAGTCATGGAAACCAAACCTACTGACAAAGGTTGTCATGAAAAAAAAAAAAAAAAAAAAAAAAAAAAAGGAACAAAACCCACTCACATGTCATCACTATCTGTTGCAGTATTGGCCTGTGTTACAAAGTCATCTTCAAGTATGTTGTCTGGGTTGTCAAAATCATAATCATCATCCAATGCTGCCAATATATCTGGATCCAAGTCTGGTCTGGGACCTGTGTTAATTTAGAAAAACTTTCAAATAAGTCACATGCTTATTGTTTAATTTTTCCCAATCCAAAACTGATCACCTGCAGCTCTATCTTATTTCCAGGAAAGGGCTCCCCCCCCCAACTTTGGTCTCACTTCTGTACTTTGAAGAGTGTATAAAAATTAGGTGGATAAATCACATTTGCAATTGTTTCAAAAGACCAATGGAAATATTCATGTAAAGCAAACCAACTGGTTATTTCATACCTATCACAGTTTCAGCTTTATTCAACATTCCAGTATCAGTTTCAACTTCAGAAGCAAACACAGATGAAGGAAGCTGGATTTTAACCTGTAAATGAAGTCAACTTAAGTAGCAAAATCAACATTTTATCACATAACCGCCATGATTGTATAAAAGAAGGGTAAAAGCCATGAAAATATTATTCAAGTATCAGTCAGTAATTTTTAGTGACTCTGACGTCATATCTTGAATTCAATTTTATTTTACAATATACCTTTCTGTCATTTTCTTCGCCCTCATTAGCTTCTGTGCCATAGTAGTTTTGTTCAAAATCATCTTCCATGCTGAGGTAAGGATTATATGGGCCCACAGCCTCCAATTCATATGCTTCATTTGCTTCCTTGAGATGTTGCATGTAATCATACCCATCATCAAAGAAAATTCCATATTTTTGTTGTTCCTCTTGTTTGTGCTGTGGAATAATGAAAAAAAATTGGAAGTCTTTAATAACTCAAAATTCTCATATAGCTCAATATCTAAGATTCTTAAAATTAAATGCTGATATCTTCATTATCATTGAGAAAACTTTTTTTTTTAAAACTTCAACAAAGAATGAAAATTGATATAGATGTCACAACATCAACATAACAATGTTTAGATGGAATCAAAACAAATCACATCAAGTCACGTTGCTACTAAAACAATTGATCTTTACATCAACTATCAATATTTATCATAATTTATCTACCTTTTCATTAGCAGGCATCAACACCCTTTCTGGAGCATCTTCATCAGCTTGTAGGGGATCTTTTTGACTTCTGTGAACCAGGTGAAAGGTCACAGCATTCTTCTTATCAATAAAAGGCTTTTTCTTTTTACCAGGCTAAAAAACAAGTAGAAGGTTTGACTCTACTTACGTACTATTTGTGTGATAATTTATTTGTTTACACTGTGTAAATAAATCAAGCCAAAACCCTTTCTTCTATCTAAAAGTCTGCATAAAATGACTTCAGTGAGACCAAAGAAATGACTAAACACATGTTTTCTTCAGATTGAACGTTTCCTGTGTTTACATGTGTCCAGTGTTGTTTCTATAATGTATTTCACTGTGTTGAGCTGATTGCGCATTTTACTTTTTAGAATTTAGGTATCCGAAAAGCCATTATAGGTTAATTGGAAAAATGTATAATTTCCTTTTTTTGTATGGCAGCAGGAAACCTGTATAATTTAGAGATGACAGAAATGGCCATTTACAATCTTGTTACCATGCATGTCCAAGTGTCACGCAACTATTGCTACTATACAAGTACTGGTACAAATGTACCCAGTACTGTACTGTACCGTAGTACTAGTACACGACTCACGAGTAGTAATTTTATGAAGACTTTGAGATGTAGTGAAAATCTGATCTCAAATGTATCGCACTTTTAACATGAAGTCGTTGTCTGAAAAACAGTGGGATATCAGTGATAAAAAATTAAACAAACAACTTACCATTATGTTCTCACTTTACACGTGCTAAATTTCTCTGGAACAGCAACAATCCTTACTTTGACCTTCACCTTCTACTAAACTCGTCATTTATTTACCGTTTACGTTAAGCAATTAACTTAGTGCATGCATTATTTATATTGTTAATTATTTCATATTAAAAACAGCACATTTTAGTTTAAATCTAAATAGTCGCATAACTTGATACAGAATAAAAAGCATTTTAAAATTGGTGTATCTATATATACGCAACTAAACTCACATAAGCTGTAACTTAGCTCTGTAGGATCTTTGCCACGGTTTGTCTGTCCCTAAGTGGTGAGCCAATGAGTTGAATTAACACTATGGACGGGGACCCAAACAGTCCTTTGATAACTCCAAAAGTTCAAATAACAAGAGACGACGGGAAGAACGTAAACAACACATTATGGAACAGGTAAAAATTGGTTTTTATAACAATATTCTTTACCTAGAAATGGGTTAAGTAATCGTTTGACAATGTTAGTGATGTTACAGAAAGTTACTGTACAATATACAAATTACATACAAAATTACAAGCATTTACTGGTATGCTAGCTGTTACTTGTTAGTATAAAACTGATGACATCTCACATCTCAACTGATGACTCACGACATCTCACCCAAGAAACTCGTTGAACCAGGCCACCATATTTTTTTCTATTCAAACTAAAAACTTTTTTACTACTTTACACAATACACTTATGTACTATAAATCAAAACAGATGAATGCACAGTAGCCAAGGGGAGAAAGGTAAGTTAGAATCAATTTAGAAGGGATAAAATGCACATAAAGTGGTAAATTCTTTGGGCAAGGACATTTACTTTAAAAAAAGGGGTTGATGATTAGAAAATATGAATTAAAGGGATAATAACTCTTCACATGAGATCTTCCAGTATATTTCACAAAAAAAAAAAAAAAACATTGTAAACAACTCTTAGAATGATAGACACATAATATATTCTGTTTTACCACAAAAATGGCAGTTATAGCTATTATTCTGATATCTGAGCTTGTCATTGGACCACATTACCCTCTACCAGGGCGACTGATAGATTTTTACGGATATTCACAGATATGTCTCTAGCTAGATAGATTGTCATTTTAACTGACTTAGAGTTAAAATGACAATCTATCTAGCTAGAGACATATCTGTGAATATCCGTAAAAATCTATCAGTCGCCCTGGTAGAGGGTAGGACCACATGACCTCTATAGATGGCTATACTCTGTAATAATCTCTTAAGAGATTATTACAAAAAAAGCATACTTTTTAGAAAAAAACCAGGAACCAACTTTGAATGTAGAAATGGATTCATTATCCATTGGTAAGTATGGGAAAATTGTTGTTTACTTCAGGAAAATTCATTTGCTGGCAAAAAATGAACAGTTATTATCCCTTTAAAATGGACAGTTATTATCCCTTTAAGGGGCACAAAGTCTTACTAAACAAAGATTATACACTGTACATGTATGTCGTGAAGTGTCTCAGAGCATCATCCTTCTCAGATTGTCTTAAAAATAAATTCCAGTTTGAAGTTATCATAATGGACCATATCAATTTTTTACCTTGATTGTAATGTGTGGTAATAATCAGCCCATTCATCAATATTAGTAAAATTGGAAAAAATTGGCTTGCACAGGCATAATTTTTTGTGATATATGGGTCCTGTATAGTAATGCAAAATTATAGTTAATGGATTTAGTGCAAATTATAGTAATGCATTGCCATTTAATGACAGGGCATGCTAAACACCAGCGACATCAATATTTGGTTGATAACCCCTGCTTCTCTGGTTAGCTCCTGAATGATAAAAATGCACAAAAAATGATTGCAAGTATTGCAAATGACTATTATCATTTTAATCACTTTAGGTTGCAAAAACAGATGTTCCCTTTTGAGTTAATTTTTTTGTATGTCTGTGTGGTGAAGGAAGGGGCTTCCTTTTTTATGAGAATATTTTAAGCTAAATATCAAATATATTATTGAGAGAAGAATATACACTTTCTGTTAAGATTCCCACTGCCTGTGAATGAAATATTAATGCGTTTTATACCATAATGAAAAAATAATTAAGCTGAGATATGTTTGATGGCATAAGGGTATATCACTATCAAATCAACATGGCATGATATATAGAAATGCTGGATTCATTTTATTTTTAAATAGATTGACAGGTGTACTGAGCTTGTTAAAGGATACCTTTTCCTTGAAAAAGAAAGATTCAAAATAATTAGTTCTTTATCAAATGGTACTTATTTTCTTTTGGAGTTATGCAATAAAAAAAGATTCAGAATATATGTAGTAGTTTGTGTTATATCCATCTTCCTTTCTTTTATGTTACAAATGATAATATTTAATGACCCTGGCTCTTGGCGAACTGATATTGATAACAGTATGAATTTTGCCTAAGGTAAGATCACGCAGTTTATGACAGAGAGAGATTTATTTGGATTTTCACAACCAAATATCTCTTTTCATTCCTGGTTAGTTTGCTGTAAAGTGTGAGAAATTTCATAATGGCTCACTCTTTGTTGATTTCCAGGTATGCCATTTTAATAGTAAGAGAACTGCATTTCATATTTATCCAGCAAACTCATCGTTGTAGTCAAAAATATGATTATTCTTTGTTACTTTTTCAGACGGGAGAAGTACATATGGGTTTTAACCTTGTTCACAGGCTGTTCCGTGTTGTATACTGCCAGGACTGTGATGCCCCTATGTGTGGTTGCTATTTCAAAAGAACTCAAATGGGACAAAACACAATCAGTAGGTTTTTATGTACATGATTAACTTGTCAGGCTAGCTACATTTATTCCGTCTAAAATCCATATGCTTTACTTGATCAGGTCGGTTGGAATGAAAAAAATGAAGGGCAGCTGTATTAACATGGCTTTATCTAGTACTGAACATGTTGGATAACCCAATAAAGGGGGAAGATTTAAGTTGATCATAATTTGACTCAAAATATGGATGTTCTAGAATAGAAAAAAGTGTGGAAGTATTGGTTGAACAACAAATCCAGCATAGCTGTTGAATCAGCTGACCATACAACCTTCATTTGAGTGAATTATCCGATTGAGGAAATTCATTAATTCATGAAGAATTATACAACCTGAAAAAGTCAGGGAAAACATCCTGTATTTTATTATTAAGGGATCTATTATGTGGTTAATGAGGAATAAACATGGCTGTGTAATGAGAGCTGATGACATTACAGCAGTAAACTGTTGTGTCGATTTCAAACAGATCTCCCTCACCTGAACAGCTATCAAGACCATTTTAAAGCCTATTTAATCACAATAATATATTCTACAATCTGATGTCAGGAAATTTTCTTGAAAGGATTTTCAAAATTAATTTTCCTCACACTGTATCAGACTTGTACCATGAATAGGGCAACAGGTGGGCAGTAAGGGATAGAAGGCTTTCAAATATAAAATGATTGCATGGCAGCTGTAGGATGTCTGGGCATTTTGTTTTTGTCATTCATGCTTAATATGTTTTCTGTTTTTAAAAATTTAAAAAGAATTTAAATTGTATATGTTGTTTACGTTCATATTTGACAGCTTACAATATTGTCTCCTTCCAGGGAATGGTGCTGTCCTGTTTCTTTTGGGGTTATACAATGACACAGGTACTTGGTGGTTACCTCAGTGACAGAATAGGGGGAGATATTGTTATCTCTTTTGCTGCATGTGGCTGGTCATTTATTACATTCATCACTCCTAAGTTAGCATATCTAAGTAGTGATAAAGCCACCACAGTCAATGTGATTGTACTGTCAAGAGTACTTCTTGGAGCATGCCAAGGTAAAGTATATTTCTTTATATTATAATTCATGATCCAGCTCTTAAATGGCAGAAATAAAAGCAAGAGTGTAGATACAGTACCTCACTTTTGTTAAACTATCAAAAGGAAATTTACTGCTGAACAACTTCATTAATTTTTATTTATTTTTGAACATTGTAATATAGAGTTGTTATCCCTTTAACTACTTTTTAGGCCACAGGCTGTATTCGAGGTGCAGAGCTGAATACAAGCACTTTCAAGTCTGCACCTTAAATACAGTCTGTGGCCTTAAAAAGTAGTTAAAGGGATAACAACTCTTCATATGAGATCTAAATTTCACAATAAATACATTGTAAACAACTCATAGAAATACAATATATTCTATTTTATCACAAAAGCAGCCGTTATAGCAATTAATAAAAAAGCTGTGCTTGTTATCGGACCACATGACCTCCATAGATAGCTATACTCTGTAATAATCTCTTAAGAAATTATAATACAAAAAAAAAAAAAAAAACTTCGGAAAAAAAAAACAGGAACTAACTTTGAATATAGAAATGGATTCATTAACCATTGATAGTTATGGGAAAATTGCCATTAACCTCAGGATAATTCATTTTGTGGCCAAAATGAACAGTTGTTATCTTTTTAATATTGCCATTAGCCTTGGAAAGGACTTGTATTCCATCATTTTTATCTTTGAAAAGTACCTGAATTCGATCACTTGTCAATTTGTCAAAAAATACTTCATAATTTAGTGTTTTTACTAGAATAAGGAATATTCACAGAAGGGGACATAATTTGATTCATATTTGGTTGTTTTCCATAATTTGTGTTTTATCATAAATTTGAAAAAATATGTTTATAATATAATAATATCCTTTTTGTATATACAATTTAAAATGACAGTAAATTGCCCTCATTTGTGTTAAAAAGGTCCTTGACAAGTATTTGAGTACAGCTGAAAAAAAAACTTGAATTTGTGCTTGAATTTGTACGTATGTTGCTGTACGAACCTTGCAATAGTTTTTATCAGCAATAATCATACAAGAAAATACCAGTATGACATTTTGTCTTCTGCTTGGTTAGACTTGGTCATGGAAGTACATAAGACTATGAAAACTATTCAGGTTGCTATCCACAGATATCATGTTTGGTTGCATGATGGCTTTTTAAGATAAGTAAATGGAGGCTCAGCTGTGTTGCCATTGGTAACTTTGCAGTAAATGATGTAAAGGAAATTGAAAATAACTATCTCAGTTACATAATGTATATAGATTAGAAATATAATTGCTATCTTGTCTTTTTCATTCATTTAGTGCTATAATATTTTGTTATTTTCAGAAGGTAGTATCAGAGAATATTTTGCATTTTTTTTCTACAGGCATTCTTATTATATTTGAGTTAATTATTAGATTCATGACACAAAAATTTCAGGTTTCCACATGCCAAGTGTAACCAGCCTTTCAGCAGCACGGATTCCTGCTGAGGAAAGAAGTTTTCAGTATAGTTTCATTATAGCAGGGAAACATTTTGGGTGAGCAAGTGGGCCATATTAGCTCCCAGGAGGGTGGATGGGACCTTTTGCTGTTATTTGTTTTCCCTTTGTTTTTCATTTGATAAATGTAAACCTACAGCACTTGACGTCCAACTGAGTGGAGGGTACTAGTAAGTGAAGTTGTGTCTGGTAGTTTGACTGTGGATAGAGTTAACCTGGACATGGTGATGTAGTGATGGCTCACACAATTCTTAAAATAACATTTAGTTTAATTCTGCTGGCAGTTCCCTTGTTCCCAGTTGGCCAACAAACTACTTGGATAATATTTTACCTTGTTCTAAAATGTGACTTCTGTTAACAAACGGCATACATGTACATATCTAGGCTACCTCTTCAAATAAATATTTTATGATAGGTGCTGTTGAAACTTATCCGTGAAGCAGATTCTCTGACATCAACTACCATTTAGCTGAATTACTGCTTCCATTGAACTGTTTACTTTTTTTTTCTTTGGACTGGTTAGCAAAAGAAAAAACCAGGGTTGTTCATGTAGTATTAGATTTGACAATTGAATCAAGGGATTGGACTCTGAAGATATTTTCACTTTTCTATGCAAATGAGATGAGTATTTATGGCCTCTGGAGGAGATAAGTAACCCCCGAAATGACAAGTTGTTTTTAAAAAGTCCAATCTTATAATCAAGTTGTCAGTCTGTACAAATAAGCACCCACATAGCTTTTGAAAATGTTTTGTATGGTGGATGATGGGGCATAGTTAAATGTCATTTAGTTGCATTTACAGTATAAGTATCTGTTGCTTTTATATAAGTTTTCCTATCTTTCTCTTTATAACTGAGCACAAATTGACATGTTTGTGTTTTTAGGGCAAAGGTATTTTTGAGATATGATTCATTTTGGAGTGATTTGCAAAATAAAACTGAGATGCATTAGGGGCATACCAATGAATATTGATGCTTTGTTTCTTTTCTATCTGTTTCAGTGTCATATCTCTTTTGTTATCATATAATTCAGGTGATTCCTGTTCAAAAAATTTCACTTCAATTCAGGTGTGAAGATATATTTATTTTATGCACATTTCTGTCAATCATTTGGTTTTGGGATTATGCTTATTGTTCTTTTTTTTCTTTTTCTCTAGGGTTCCACTATCCAAGTGTAACTAGCATAGTTTCCAAAAAGATTTCTCAAAAAAATAGATCTTTAACTTACGCCTTTGTTGCTGCTGGGTCACATTGTGGGTAAGAAAAAAATTGTGTGTATTCATCATAAGTGACTTGATGTCATTTCAAACAATTTCAGGATATGTTTTATCTTTTTTTATGGGTGTGGGGTTGTTTGGGGGGCATAACTGGAGGGAAAGATGATTGGTTGCGATGAATATCTCATATGCATCACGTCTAAGTTCTAAAATATTTAGATACTTGGATAAAAGTACCTTACAATTTGTATTGATGAGACTCAATTTCACCAGAGTGAAATCTGGCTTTAAGACTCGTGTTAATTTTATGAAATACAAAAATGTTTTTAACAAAAGCTTTTTAGAAACTATAGATTTGATAATTAACATATTGGTAAAGAATTATGTCTGCTTTTTTATAATTTAATTTCTAATATCCATCAACAACTGTTAAGTGCCCAAATTGGGCAAATGTTAATTTTTGAGACTAACAGCAACACCATATCATTAAAATATGAGAAGCAGTTATTCATAACCTTGTATGATGCAGGTGCAGAAAAAACAGTAGTTCAGTCCATGGTACTATATATTTAGTTCCATGTCTGTTTGTAAATGTATAAATTTTCTCCCTATTTTAGCACCCTGCTATGTGGAAGTATAGGCTCATTATTATTGGAATATTATGGATGGGAGAGTACATTTTATGTGATAGGTAAGTGTTTAATTTACAAAATGATTACAGAATTCACTTGACTGATACATTTTCATGACTTGCATATATTTTTGCTATTTAAGTCAGCATCAGGTTGTAAAAAATGTTTTACCTCATGTTGCAGTTGTTGTATAATACTTTTGTTAAGGATTCTGTAAGTGCGCAGAAATGGTTAACACAAGCTTTGTTTGCATGCATATTTTATTCTGTTCTTATTCATTTATTTATCCCTTTTCAGGAGTTGGAGGCTTCCTATGGATGCTATTTCTTCGATATTATCTTCTGGGTGGCAATAAACCCAAAAATCAAGTAGTTTCTTTAAAAAACAATATGGTACCAGATTCTTTTGTGCCTCAAAAGGAACATATACCAGTACCATGGATGTCACTGCTCTCAAGAGTTCCATTTTGGTAAGTAGTTGTCAATGTAAAATTAAATATAAATCCAGTCAAGTCCAGGTGATATTCTTATGTGTAACTCTTGGTGTGCATGTGAATGTTAATATTGGTTGTGTCTTACATAAGCCTGTAAAAGACCATTTGCTTAATAATATTACTGGCAGTGTTTTGAGGAATGTAGGATGGTGTGTTAATTCATCAGTATTTATTAAAAGGTTTTTGATTAAATGAATGATAACTTAATTAGGAAGGAATTTATCATTAAATCCCCTAATTAATTTCAAAACATTTAAATTTAAATACCTGAAGAAAGATTTTATTTATATGGAATTATATAAGACAGATATGTTTGTTTTTGTTTTAGGGCTTTAGTCGTTGCTCATTTTTGTGAGAACTATGCATTCTTCATTTTGTTGTCATGGCTACCGTCATATTTTCATGAAAACTTTCCCCAAGCCAAGGTATGAATTACACACATTGTTTTAATGTATGTTTATTCATTGTTTATATATCTTATGTAATAATCATTTTAGGAGGTCATACCAGTATCTTATTCAAATATATTTTAGAACTTATTTTCCAAACTGTAAAAAAAATTATTTATGAAATAAATAACATAAGCAGTGAAATACCAGGAGATACATATATTTATGTATGTATATAATAAAATAATGAAATAGAATTATGACTTCATACATTAGGTACTTTTTTACCAAAAGGCTCATCAGAGGTATATCTACACACACACACACACACACACACACACACACACAGACACACACACTGACCCTTCAGTTAAACAGCTTTTGGGTAAAATATACTTATTTGACTGAAAATAATTTTATAATTTTACTAAATTTCTGTTTTTATTCAAGGGCTGGGTATTCAATGTCTTGCCATGGCTGCTAACCATTTTTTCTGCTGTATCTAGTGGTTGGATAGCAGACAATCTAATTTCAAAGGGTAAGCCCATGGTGCATGGGACATTTATGTTCTAGTAATTGTTAAGGATGAATATATTTGCATGAGCACAGCTATTGTGAGATATTTACGTCCAAACCCTGAGGGGAGCTCTTTATACTTTTAAATTGAACATTTCCAGCTTGCTTATAACTGTGGAGCACTAATGAGGTTACAATTAAAACAAAAAATTAAACAGTTTATAGTAGACATCAAAATATTAGTAAAGATTTCAAAACATTAATTTCTTGTTTTTTTCCAGGTTACACAGTAACAGCTGTTCGCAAAGTTATGCAGAGTTTGTGTTTTCTGGGTACAGCACTTTTCCTGTTTCTTCTGTCCTTCATGCACACATTCCACACTTCACTGTTCTGTGTGGCAGTGGGAGTCATGTGTTGTGGCTTTCATAACAGTGGTGTCCTAGTCAACGTACAGGATATAGCTCCACAATTTGCAGGATCTGTATTTGGTAACTTGACCTTCTAGCGAGTGAAGAGTTTACTTTGTATTTTCACGTAGCAAAATTTTCAAAAATGGCTTTTATGTGAACTTCTTGAGAGACGTTAGTCATTTGCAGTCTAATTTAAACGCCTGCTCTCATGCAGTATTGGAATAAAAAAGTGGTCAGGTGCTGTTCTAGTAAATTATGTGTCTTAGATAGGTGAAGTACAACCTGAGAATACCAAAATTGGAGAAGTGACCAACTGCCAAAAATTAATTGTTCTGATTTTATGTTGATGTGATTTTTGTTCCCATGGATCTCTTATTAATTGACACAGTGCAAAAAATTACTGCTTCTCTTTCCAGGATTAATGAATATGGCAGGTGCAATTCCAGGTAAACAGTGAAGATCAGTTTAAAAATATCTTTATTTAAAAATGATATGTGTGTGTGTGTATGTGTGTAGAGAGAGAGAATTTTACAAAGATAGCAGATGGTTTTCACGATAGACAACTGCTATGATTGCATCACCCCTTATTTTTAGTTCATGCAGTAGCAGGTTTTCTTAAAACTGAGCATGTAATGAAGTGTTTTTTATCAGAGCATCTTTTTATTGTGAACAGTGACAAAATGCTGACCTGTAGAGTTGATTGCTTCATAAGTGATCATTTGTCTTTTTTCCTTCTTTTTCAGGTTTTATAGGTGTATATGTAGCTGGGCACATGTTGGAAGTGACCAAAAGTTGGACAGCAGTATTTAATCAAACTTCAATGGTATGCATATTTGGATGGGCTGTCTACGTCATCTTTGGAACAGGAAAAAAAATAATATGAAGGCAGGTCATCACCACATTGTCCATAAGTGCCATTTCACATAGGGTTTAAGCCAACAATGTCACAATCTGGGCATTTTATTGGTAGGAGGGAATATTCTACTTTATGCCATTACATGCACATGGGATAAGTTGCTTTAGGTTCTTGTTTGCTTGATTTCATGAAATTCTATTTTTTAAGAACTGTTTTTGCTTCTGTCTTCTTCTATTAATTTCATCATGTATTTTGTTTCGCAATCCATGAAATCCTGTTATACAGTGCATCAGAAGTAATATTTTTTATTTAATTTTTAATATGATTATGATCTCAGGTAAAAGAAATACCCCCCCCCCTCCTCACTGAAAGAAGTTTGTTACATGTCATTGAAAGAATTAATTTGGACCAAAGACCCTCATAAATGGAAGTTACAGATTTTATCATTATAATTGCATGAATATATATATATATATATATATATATATATATATATATAGTAACATTTTCCTGTGTCTTTGTGTGTAACAACTGTAGTATTCCAAGCTAAATTTTTATCAATATAATAGATATGACCCTGTTAAACAGAAAACGCCCCATCTTTGGTTTAAAACCAGCATGTTTGTGTAATCAGGCACAGTTCATTCACAATTGTACTTGAGCAGTGATAAAAATGTATATACATATCCATTCTGCATGTAAGGGCTGTGATATATTGAAAGAGGGTCCCAAATCAAGAATTTGAAGACCAGATAAGGCAGCATTTATGCCAGATAGATGACTTCTGTAAGAAACATAGACAATTTAGTAGCGTTTTTTTTTTTTTTTGTCTGGCCATATTCTGATCAACCATCTGCTTTTATTTATTAATTTTTTGGGGGTAATTGCTTGATAGGAAAGTATATTTATTATAGTATAGAAATTATGTTGTGTTAAACAGAGTTGATATTGGCATTATTTTCATGTTGTAAATATTTTCTTTATTTTGAGTGACGAATGGAGGGATGGACCTTTTGCAATTGCACAAATGTAACCTAGCCAATTATTTATTATGTTTCACATTAAGTTTATTTGTATATTTTTAAAGTTAAACTGTGTACATGGGGCATTTTAATCTCCCAACAGTCTAATTCATTATGGGGTAATTATATTCACTTATTGACATTAAACAAATTCATTTGTAGCAAGCATTTCCATTGGCCTTATTATATGCACATTCCAAAGTTAAGATTTATCTTTTTTTGGGAGGTTAAATATATTCATAGCTTTACATCAAGCACCATTCTTGAAAAGGGGCATTTATATGTATAGACTTAGAAGTTAGATGTTAATTATGCTATAATATTTTGTGACTAGACTTTTGTGATGCTGAGAATAAAAGTAGAATTTTGGTGATTTTGCCTCAAAATACATCCCTTTTGGATTTTGCACTACAGTGGTTTACATTATCAATAAATCTTGTGTAGTGCGGAATCATCCATAATGATCTGCTTAATATGCCTTGCATAAAGATTAATTTGTTTTGTTTAGAGGAATAAAGTAAAAACAATTGTGGTTGTACATTATTTAAACATTTCAGTTAGGTGGTTTATATTTATATATATAATTTTTAATATATTTTGAAACGGCTGGTTTTGTGGTGCATTTCATTGAAAATTATATTAAGGTGTAAACTGCATAAAGTTACGAGGTGGTTGTTTTCTCAAATTTGTTCACAGATCCACCAGACGTCAAAACCAGAGTTTCAGTTCGATTTCTATATGTGTAACCTGTATTGGCTATTTTATGAAAAAATACTTGCAGTTTCACTGATTATAAATGTTTTCAGTGATTGCTCTGTAAAAATGCTGGCCATTGTTTCTTATAGAAACTATGTAAAAATAAATATATTAAATAAAGATATGGTTTTTATTTTCATGAAAGAAATGGAACTAAAAATGAATCATTCAGTTTCATGTTAAGTCCAATTGCCAGTCATTCAATACCTTTTCACCACATCTCAGTTTTTGTTCTTTCACAAAAAATTTAACATTTCATAAGTCCTGATATGGACAAGCCTTAACCTGGCTTCATATCTCTCTACATTAATATATTACTGATGCCATTTACGACTACCTCTAAAGTATGTTCTCCCACTTGAAGAAAAACTCCATGATCACTTAATTTTACTGCCTCCATACATAGGGCTGGACCGAGAGATTAACACGTGCATATCTGGAGATCATTAGCAAACACTATTTTGGAGTGGGCAGATGTGTAAAGTTTTTCTCTCTGAATTATGAAGCAGTTCTGGAAAACAAAGACAGACAAGCAGCCCAAAAAAATCGAAAACTCCTCTGATGTACTATGCAGGCAATCGGGAGGAGGAGCATAGGATAAATTTATTGAGCACTCAGCATTCAAAGCTATTCTGTCACATTGACTGTCCAGTTATCAGTCACTACCCTTGTCAGTCCAGCCCCATAATAATCTATCACATAGTGGGAGCCATCTGATGGGCCCACCACCTGGGCAGCTATAAGGATGATGTCTATTAACTGTCCTATAAACATGAAGCCCAATGTGCAGAACTTGAGTAAACCTGGAAAGCCAAGAGAATCTTTGCTTTTAGTGATTTGTTAACCAAATATTGAACAGGAAATGGATATTGACAAAAGATGGGATACACATTTCGAGATTTAGTGAATATTTCAGTGCGTAAAGGAAGTGTCATAACAGCCTCCATACTTTTGTTAAATTACAACAGGCTGCGATCATATATTGTTTGCAGTATACTGCATGCATGATACTAGTGGTGCCTCCATAACTAAATGTTCAAGTTCTCAAAAATACAAATTTACCTATGGCTGGATATCCAAGATAGAATCTATCAATCCCAAACATCCCAAGAAATATGGATAGAAGCAAAGAGACTTCAAAAGAATACCCGTTCCTATAAAAATCCAAAGCAAAAAGCATTACATCATTCTTTTTTAATGAAGAACACATTGAATTTAAATTCCATTATAAATATTATTTAATTAGTATTTTGAAAATCTTGAAAGGTCAATGACAAAAAAAGAAAATTAATCACAAAAATAAAAATATCAAATGAAAAATTTTAATTAACAACAAAGACTACCCTTCCAACTAGAAGAGCACACATACTTACGTCCACTTACAAGGCACCTTCATTTTGAAGCCCACAGTAGAACCATTGTGTCTCATCACAGCATTGCTTGTACATGTCTCATCTATACAACCTTCACATTCAATATCTGGTGCTGGCATGCAACTGACTAGAATACAAAATGTAGAACAATTTAGCAATAACAATAACTTCTGAGCCATTGGACTAGTGAAACTGAACAAATATAAATATTCTGGACCCATGAACCATTTTACCATTATATCAAATAAAGCAATACTTCACTACTCTTACCATCTATTAACTGGTTTTCTTTGGTACAGCCTCTTGCTTGTTGGGTGTCTGGATCTATCTCAGGCTCTTTGCATTTATATCTGTGTTTCATCAAAGAAAAATGTACTATTTTTATGTATTGAAATATGAATGTATTGATATCATATGTATAAATGCCAGACTCCTAGTACTAATAAAGCTAACATGTATTAATGAATTGCACATTTGCCTCCTGACTCATAAAGGAAGATTAAATAATCTCTCTCGTGTATGTTTTGACTTATATCAGTCATTTTTTGTGACTTTTTTCTTTCTAAAACTTTACCATACACTCATATACACTTTATACACTTATTAGCACAAGGATCAGACTAACAGGAGGATGTTTCCCCAAGACTTGTGTTCCAATAGCACAACGGTGCATATTTCATACATGCAGATAAGAGTGCTAGAGTGGGATTACGCAGACTATCAAGCCTCCTGTTAAATAATTACTCCAGGTATATCCTAGTTTGAGCCTCAGGTAAAACAAATTGTAAATTAATTTATTCTGGGTGTATTAGATTTATGATACATAAAGGATACTGTCCTTTCAGAAGATCTGAGCAGTGCTTTGTACATAAAGAACCAGGTAGTGCTAGAGTAACAAGCACATACCACCATAATACAGCCGAATGTGTATTCATAGTGTGAATGTGATAGTCAAGAGTACATCCTCTCTTCTGAGTTGTCTTAACTCCAAAGTGGGCACAAATTAAGCATAAATCAAGTACATCACATGGGTGCCTGCAAGATTTTAAATCGCAATTTATCGTCAGATCTACATTCTGAATAGAAACATCACAATCTGACGGTAGCTCAAAACCAACTCCAATGCAGCGCAGCCTATTTTCAGAGGGTAAAAATCTTTCTTCCTCGAGCCCTAGACTTCGTCCGTCTTTTCCCTAGACCGTTGCACAGCAAAATTTTCTTCCTCCGCATACATAAAAAAAGCAAGATATCACACAACAAGAATAAACAACATCACTTCTGTTGTATTTGTGGACGTCAATCGTTATTCTGTTAAATGTGACTCCAACAATGCAACTACAACTTAGGTAAAACTCCAAGCGGATGCTGTGGAGCGATTTACCGGAAGTTCGACCATTAAAGTAGTCCAGATTGCTGCAGGTACGAGGACACTCGGAAAACTTTTTTAATTTCGAAGTTAAGCGGTGGTCAGACAACCAGGCCGTTGAGCCAGAGAGGAACAGGTATGTAAGAAAAGAACGTTAAATTCATAACTGCAGGTGTGATCCACAAATTAACTAATGGTTTATTTTAGTACGAAATATGTGGCACTCTTGACCAAACTTTGGTGACAATGTATGGGAATGACTGTTTTAACCCCGCCCAACTGGAGACCACATAGACCTGTAGGTGAAGTTTCAGATCAAATCTTTTAATTTTTTAAAATTAATGCGTGTTATGCATGTGCAAAGTAATTGAAGAGCTTTGACTGCTGACTGAATCTTTCTTCCGTGTAAGGGCAGTAACCTGTTGCATGCTGTTGAATTATTTATTTTCTCAATTTATCGCCATTTCGTTTTTAACTGTAGTGTATTGTTTTGAAATCATGCCAGATTCTAAGCCCTGTAAATCACACTAATTTTTGGAAAATTATGAGATTAAGTAACTGTCATAGCATGTCTTAGATTAAATTACTTGAGTAAAGAAATCATTTGCAGATACTACATATATTTCCTCAAATTAAATATAGAATACACACCAGGGTATGCATATTTGTGGTAAGCCAATAGGTATTAAAGTCAATGCCTATCCATCCATTTGGATAACTATTCATATATGTGATTAAACAGAGGAAAATTTGTTTTGATTTTGATAGTAATCTGACATTTCTACAGTTTTTTTTTTCGTGAAATCATAATAAATGAGTATCTGTTTAGTAAGTAACATCCTTACTACTAGTTGGATATTCACAAGACTTGGAACTGAGGTTATGAAGCTTTTTGCAATTAATTCTTAACAAGCAAAAAATTTAAAACTTCTAGTATTCATGTCTTCAGTGCATTCTAGATCTTAAGAAAAATGTTTGTTGTTTCATTGAGAAAATATACAGTTTGAAGCAAATTGCAGTTCTACTATGCTGGTCACCCAAAAGAAAAAGCAAACTTGATCAGCAATGCAGATCACTTAAATCATTTTGAAAAGGCTTTGTTGATAAAGGTTGATTATAAATCCCTATCATCATGGATTAGCAGAGCAGTTGTGAATATATGTTATTGATATTTATCTCTGCTTAAAAAAGAAATAGAAAACTGTTGTGTTCTATATATAGATGGAAGTCTGCTTGCAGCAACCACAATTTCAATCAGAAAAAAATCATATAAAATGTGACTTTTGGTAAAATTCCAAAGCAATTTCCTATGATGCAACTTACAGAAAATTAATTTTTACCATTGTATCTTACTGACTTACCCAGAATTTTTCAAGGAGGGAGGAAAGGAGAAGTTATGTGTCCCCTGTCATCCTTAAAACTCTTGTGGCTATGTATTTTATAAGTCCATATTCTTAGTGGAGAAGCCCATTGTATTCCTGGTAGTAGACTGATAATATTTGGTGCAGGATTGCTTTGTAAGAATAAAGTTGAAACTGATTGCTAGCAAAATATGATTCTGGATGAGGAAACCTTCTCACTTGTGTAGATCAATTTCTAGGTAAGGTCAGATACGTGCAAACATTAAACCCAGATTGTAAACAAGTGGTATTTAGTTTTAGCCATAGCATAAACAGGAGTATAAATTGCAGTTGTTTAAATTCCACAGTTGGCTCTTTGATGTGAAATAAATTGGTATATTTGACAGTGAGAAATTTACCTATTTAAACAGAGAAAGAAAGAAATTAAAGTTGTGAAAGAATTTAATCAGTTTGACATTAAACTTCTGATTAAGACCACACTGATTCAGTGAATTAAATTTGTTGCTGTAGATTGATTTTCTGTTTTTTTTTCTTTGTTATATTATAGTAATGATATATTCATGGTGCTCTGTTACAGTTTAGCCTTAGAAGCAAAAATTCAATAGCTGAATTGTCCAACTCTCATATGGAGGATGTTGCATGACTATCGAGTTGTTCATCTTTGTGGTATTGCTGTAATTAGCTGCTGACAAATCTATGTTTCATGACTTTTCTTCAGAACCCTTGTACAGTATATTGGATATAGCATTATAAGCATTATTCAACTGTTTTCAGAGTTGCCATATCTGCTGACCTTGCCTAGACAATATATGAATGGGGTTATATACCAGGCTGTGTTAACCCAACAAGATGGCTCTCCAAGCAGGTATGTTTGGTTGGACTTGTTATCAAGTATTCGTCAAAAGTAATGGTCTTGAGAAACTGTTGTACCCTGCCTCATATTTAAACAATTTTTTACTAATATGTGTTTTAGCTAGTTAAATTATCATTAATAGCCAAATTTAAGTTTTGGTTCCAAACACTACTGCAGTTTCAATTGGCTTTTTTTTTCAGTTTGAACAATTCTAACAGCTAAAGATGTAAAAGTTTTAATTAGTATTAGGAATTGTGTTCAGGTGTATTTCTAATACTGTAGGAAGCAGTTATATAACAAACGTAGATTTATCCTAGTATCAGTTGATTAAAAAAATATTTGTCAATCTGAAGCATTTTGAGGGTCCTAAAAATTATTCCTGCTGGGGATTTTTCCTGCAGTTTTGATGTGTGTACTTCCATTTTAACGTAGAAAATAACAAAAATTTGTAAGCTGAAAGTGCGTGCATTAGATTTTCTTTTTCTTTCACAGTAAGCATTATGTTGGAAATCTCTCAATGCCTCATTTTAAACAGGTTTCCATTATTCTGTCAATTTACACTTTGACAAGAACAATTCTAATAGTTTTTCCTTTTCTTGCAGACACTCAGCATGCTTTAGAGCTTTTGCTCCAGATTCAGGAGCAAATAAAAGACACCGGAGACCCTTCCCTAGAAGATGAGATAGCCTCTATCATTTGTATGCTAGACTCTCCAGTGTTCAGTCGTCTTCTCTCCATACAGACCTCTCTACAAGAGTTGAAACAAGTTCATGACACTCAGGGGTTGAGTGAAGAAGACTTTAACTTTTCTCCATCTGGAGACTTAGTTATCAGACCAGAGGTGGCAGAGAAGTAAGTTGGTCATGTGTTTATTATAATGGTAGCATATATACATAAAACTCGCCATTTTAACTTCAACCTGCAGTGCTAGTATGAATAATAGTTCTGAGAATATCACAGCAATATGCCCATGATACTAGTTTAAGTACCTTCTGACAGACAGTTGTTAAAAAGTGATTATGTTAAGAAAGTTGTCACTTCTATCATATTGTTAATGTATTTGAAAATTGGTTAATGGACTTGTTAAAAGAAGTCTATATTTTAGTTGAAAATTTCAGGCATTCTTAAAGAACGAAGGGTAACCTTACCTCCAAAGAAATATTGGTATCATTTTATAGTGATGAAATGTTTTTTGTTAGAGCTTTTTAAGTGACATAATATGGGATGATCTGCCAGTCTGCATTGCATTGGATTCTCAACAAATCTCATGTATTGAGAAATTGATCCTGGGAATTCAGAGCAGCATGCAGACATAAATGGCTGTCAATCTTACAGATGCTCCAAGGAATATGCTCTATCACACATGCAGGGTCAGGCCTCTCACTCTGTATTTTTAATGTAAATGAAAATATAATGGCTGATTGATATAAATCCGATTTTTGTGCCACTTATTTCCTTTTAAGGTATGAGAATCAAGCGACTCTGCCACTGAACCGAAATGCTAGGCAGGAAGGTACTCCACCCCAAGAGCACCCAGCCCGACCGCTTACAGAAGAGGATTTCAGGGAGGCCATAGAAACTGCAGCACAAGGCAGACAGGTCATATATGTCCAGCTGACCAAAGAGGAGGGGAAGAGTCTTGGGTTCAGCGTGGTTGGCTTGAAAAGTGAAAATAGAGGAGAACTTGGGATTTTTGTTAAAGAGATCCAGCCAGGTGGAATAGCTGCTCAGTAAGTATAGGAATTGTTTTGTTTAGTTTTATTTGGAATGTTATGATGAGTGTATTTCATGTAGCAATATATACAGTAATATGTAAAATGGTAGATAATTCAGCAATTAAAAGATTCTTGTCCTGTGCATCATTGACTAGATATTTACAAATACTAAGTTCATCTTGCAATACACTAAGTGATTGGAATGAGATGTATTTCTATGTTTATTTTCAACCAGTTAATTATCATTATCCTTTCCTTGTTTTTCTGCTTTGAATTTTATAGCTATCACTTATACCTGTCTTGACTATTTTTAGTATTTTTAAAACCTCATAAACCATGGTCCACCTCAAATGAACTTATAATACTGTTTCCTCGACCTTGGCAATCATGTGTAAACATTAAGACTTAATTTATCTGAAAGGATGCTGATTAACATTCTAAAATTAATTTTCTGTATTTACACTAATCATAAAAAATCCCAAAGTGGCCATTTATTATATTGCTTTTAATTCTTGAGATATGTGGAGTCCTTATTTGAGTATAATGCCAGCAAATTGCTCCAGAGGGATTTTGTATTTACCTGAAATGTTTACTTATTGTGCTTTATCATGCCAATTTGTGTTCTAGTTGTTATTAAATTCATGGGTTACCAATCTCTTTAATTAGCTTTGCGTTGCACAATATGGGGCAAATTGCTTTGATTCTATGATTCCCAATTCCATTGTATGTAATACTGTTTTAAATATATGTGTTATGGTGTGTACGTAAAGCAATATTACTAGGCACAATTTTTGTTTCTTCAAAATAATTGGTTCATTCGTCCAATCTTTATTCAAACCTTCAGGAGACAGTAAAAGTGTTATTTATCATGCTCAAGAGCAATTTTTTTCTAAACCTCTACCTTTTCCCCTTGTGCCACCCCTTCCCCCTAAACAAAATCATGGATCCACTAATGTCTCGGGGTAGAGGCACATTGATGGCTCAATTATCAGAAGTGACATATAATTGTGAATGTTTACTTAATTGTAGCCCAGAAGTTTGCTTCTTTGGTAAAAAAAGAAAAAAAAATGGAATGCTGAATTTTTGTGAGCTTGAAAATGTTCCTTCCAGGCATTGCATGGAATGATGTGTATAATTGAAGCAGAAGTGAATATCCACTTAAGCAAAATAAAATTTGTATGCATTGATGGTAATCTGTAAGAAAGAAGAAAAAGAAGTGAATTTGCTTGATTGTATATTTGAAGCAAAAGCAATATATAATTTATATACATTTAGCTTGATAGCAATCTATAATGAATATAAAAAAATTGAATGGGGATGGAATATTTATAGGGCTTAAAATGACAGGTTATTTCCTTAAGTGTTATGGTGTGTGAAGTAATGGTTTGTCTCATGTTCTAGTCTTTATATGCTTGTTTCATGTTACAGTCTATAGGTGTCAGCACGTATCATCTCTTCACTTCACTTGATCTTCACTTGATCTGCTTTGTGTTTGAAGTTAAAAGAGAATTTTTTAAAAGATATTTTTGTGATGGAGCAGTTCCTGGTTAAAGGATAATCAGTTTAAAGGTTTGGTATCCTCAGCACTTGTTTGTGTGAACTCTGTGTAGGCCTGATCCTTTGCAGTGCAGCGCGTGAAGGATGTTCCATGTTTTTATTGATTTTCAGGATATTATGTTGTTGGTGGGTTTTCTTTGCTTAATTCCCTTTACATTGGTTGTGTCAGTCCTCAGCTTGAGGGTATTGATTGCCTAGGTTGATTGTGTTTTCCCTGTGGTTGATGTTGCATTTCCATATTGATTGTGTTGTCTTGACATTAAATTGAAAGGTACTGAAATAAGATTTCTGGTATGAATCTGCAATTAGTTTAATGTACTGGGTGCTGGAAAGGTGGTCATATTACTGCTGGGTGCAGTTTCTTTTTGTATAATGGGAAGCAAGCATCATTTCTTCAGTGCTAAACAAAAGGAATAGCCTTCTACAAATTGTTTTGAAATGGACATAAGTGTCTTAGATGGAAAGCTGTAATTTGGATATAAGCCATGGTTGAATGTTAATTCCATGGATAAATTGTAATTGATAGTGTTTTAGGTAATTTGGGCTGTCATCATAGAAAGTGACAAAAGTAGTGTGGTAAAGCCCACATCCACATGGCAACCAACTTGGTGAATATCAATGGGACATGTTGCTTGGTTACCAAGTGCTTTTGTACAGCTTTTTTATTTGCTTTGTGTCAGCATCTTACTTTTATTTTTTGTTTGCTGGGAATGTATCACTTTGTGTAATAGTATTGATTTCCATTGTTTGTAAAAGTTAGTGATGATGGGTTAGGACACATATGATCAATTATAAAATGGAAAGAGAAAATATAATTTCGGGAATAGGGAAAGTTTCCTTTAGGGCAAGTTTCCTTTTGCCATTGCTATCCCATTCTTTGCTTTTAAAATTGGAAAAACTGAAGCTCAGACATTTTGTCCTGTGAAACCTCTGACAGCAGGACTATATATCAAAACGAGTCCTTTATCTGTTGAAGCAAAGTGCACCATAAGTCAAGTGATCATGTCAATGAATTGGGTATCCAGAATGAGTTACATAACAATACATGCTATGTTGACAATGTAATACTAAGTAAATTGACATACGTATCTCTGCAATCGATACTTATCTATTAACCTTACTCATCAATCAAGCTATCATTATAGACCTTTAATTGAGTCGATGCCACAACAGATACATCTATATGATATTGGATAAAAATATTTCTTATCGCGGTTGTGTTATATTTTTCTGGGAAGTCCGTAGCAACAAACTAGTATCAGCTCTGAAGCATGAACCGCAACTAATTGAAAAAAGAAACAGCTATTAGATGTGACCATTTTGAATTATTAATGAATCATCCCAGTTGTGCTATATTTAATTATAGGCAGCCCTGACATTAAACATTAAGTAGCATCTAGTTTAAGCAGTAGAATTAATTTACCCTGTGCATAGTCTGATTAGCGGGCAGCATTGAAATTGCCTACTAGGATGAATGTCATGCATGTGAATTCTCCAGATCCATTACTATTGTACAGAGTTTGCTTCTTAAACAAATTCCGGTCCATCTGCATCAATAACTTGCCTGTCCTATTTGCTGTGAAAACAAAATAACTGGGAAGAGTTAATAATACATTGATCAATATAGGTCTTTTTGACCTCATCTATTTTGCAAGATTTTGTCACCCTTGTTCGTCTATTCCAAATCTGACTTGGAACTTGCGTGTGAGTGGCCTCTGGCTGCTGGGCTCCTTTAGGAACTCCCAGGTCTTGGTCTTGCTTCCTCTGATATCCTTAAGGGCTGTCCCCTGGATATGGATTTGATAAGTTGACAAGGTAGATGAACTATTTACACATCAGACGTCATTTACATCTAGGCTCAATATCTTTCATCTACAACAGTCCAAGCATTATGGGAATTAAATGGTCTGCATTGAGACAGTTGCCACTGCTGCTGTGTTGCAGTGCATGATAAGGGCTCTGTAGTGTTTGGTGAAATTTCCAGGAAGATTCCTCCCAGTTTTTGTGACCATGTGACATTTTCTAAGGAGTCCTGATTCAGGAGACTAGACAGACTTCCTTGAAAATGAGCCAGAGAATGTAGTTTCATATGGATGAGTTATTGGTACAACTCTCTACAGGATGATAATTGCAGATTGGTTGATAGGTAGAAAAGCCAACCAGATCGGTTGCCAAGCATGTGGATGTAATGTAATATTTACCTGGAATTTCTAGAAATACCAAAGTCCAGGCATCAAATAAGTCAAGCTCAAAAGATATAAACTCCACTGCTTGATGGAAGGCAGGGATATTTGATTACAGTCAGTGCACATCTTGAGTGCTAAACCTTTCAACTTTACTGGGAATTAGAACACTGGCCAGCAGTCTATATTACTACATCAACTGTATAATATATTGGCCTGGTTTATTGAATGCTTTCTAAATATATGGGTGAAACATTCAGGTTGGATTGTAAAATGGTGAACAGAACTATAGAAGGAAGGCGTTGATTGCAGGTAGTAGGTAAGTACACGCATGGAGGTTCTCCCTATTTGAGGTAGCTTTAACATCACCTTCCTCGTGTTGTACTTTAAAGCATGGCTAATGCTTTGTATTGATTTTATATCTTTCATTGCTTTGAAATTCCCTATCATACCACTACAGCTGATGTGACTTAAATCTAAACAGCATTTTTTTTCGGCCATTACATTCTGGGTGTTGAAGCATACGGTCTTCTGGGTCAGCCTTGCCACATGTGTATTGCATTTTCACCTGAATGAAACACTGACAGACTGTAGATAATGCTACTATGATATGCTTTATTGTGTTTCCCTGAAATACTGGGTGTTTGGTTTCTGATAAATGGAACATTGGCATTATTTGTCTATTCAGCCATATTCCAGTCAGTGATGATGGGAAACATATAAATCAGAATGATTGCCTTGGATCCTGCACACAGGTAACTGTTGTGCAGGATGGAAAGGTGAAGCTGGTATGGGCTGTCCATTCATTTGATAATGTAGACCACAGCAATTGGGCTTCCTCCAAGTGATCATATAGAATGTTAATATCCCTTATGACTTCAGGGTATTTATAATGAATATGGTAAGTCTCTGTAGTATTATTATGGTTAATTATTCCAAGTGAATATGTTTTATGCAATAATGTCTGGCACATACTATAAAAGCGGCATATTTCATAAGTGTATAGTCTTGATGCTTGCACTTAAATGTCTGTTAAGCGTTGATCTATTGCTTGATGGAAGTGGGCCCACATTTAACTATATTATCTTCATATTAGCATTCTAAATACCGTTTATTCTCTCTGGAGTTTTGATGGCCTCATTGACAATGAGGCAATAAAGAATTTGTCCTTCAAATTTTCATCTTAAATACCGCATGTTGGGTTTCACTTGTTATATTTCTCTAACCAGGAAAACTTACTTTAGTAATTTTAAATTTACAGTATCAAAAGCTTTG